GAGTTTTCAGGATAATTAAAACCAGTGAACTTAATTTCTAATGATGGAATATTCGCCAAATTAATGATAGGAATGTAATTTTTTTGGTCAACTAAATTGTTAGAAATATCATCACTACCTTTGTTCTGCTGGGTATAAAGATCATAAAGACTTATTCTATTGTCATCACCTCTTCTATGCTTGGAGCCATCCTTGTCACTCCTCACCTTCTTCAACGCATCTTTTATAACGCTATGTAAGAACGGATGTGACTTAATCAGTAAATCATCACCAGCTACCGCATCACTTAAATCAATATAAGCATATCCTTCTTTTTTCAATGTTTCCTTTCTACTCTCGACCCATTCAGTCGACCCAGCCAAATTATATTCCGAAGCATCAAAAGATGCAAAATATATTGACCTCGCAGGAGACCAGTTATATTGTCTCTGTAATGCACTGAAAATTTTAATCAATTCAAGCAAAATAACGGTACCTGTATTTGTAGACATCGTTCCAAAACACGTTGAATCTCTACTAGCTCCTATAATGACACCCTTTTCTACTTGTTCCCTGCCCGGGATTGATCCAATAATATTCCAGATTTGATTTGTTTGTCTTTGATCATGTGTGATCCGTAATTTAATCTTTTGTTTGGCATCAGAGTACTTCGAGCCCGAATATAAGCCATCATCAAATTTTACACCATTTTCACCTAACTGTGAAATAAAATGAGAAGCATCCTTCCAAGAGATCGGAATTGTAGGGATTTTAGGAGTAGTCTGTGATTTGAACCATGGTAATCTAGTTACATAGCCGTCTTCAGAGGACCAACCGGGTGTTAAAACATCACCTGGACTAAATCTACTAACACCAACATTTTCCTTCTGAATCACATCATCATGCGTTACTTTATTATCATCTGTTCCTATATCGAATTTTGAGCTAATGAAAAGAACAGCTTTCACACCCTGCTGTTGTGCGATCTGGATTTTATTTGCATCTGGAATTGAACCACCGTACTTGATTAAAAGTATTGAATCTTGCAAATTTACATTATGATCTCTTAATTTCTTAAGGTCCTCTTGAGTGCCGAAGTTACCATATATGTAAAAACTTTCATACTCATCATTAGTATTTAATGAATTAGGGTTATACGACAAATATTCCATATCTTTCTTGTCTTGCTCGTATAATGTTGCTTCATAAGAATCATCCGCCAACTTAACGTAAGTTTTTTTCTCATCAAAAACTGGGTAGTTTGTGAAACTTTGCAATTCTTCAAAGTCAATCATCTTTATACCATTCTCCTTCATATAGCTTTGCACATATTTACTTAATGTTAAATCTCCCTTGGAGCCGGCTATATGTGGCATCGAAGACAAATATTCCAAGTTCTCTTTCATGACTTTAGCGTCAATATAATCACGGGCCGAATTCGCCAACATGTCTATGTCATAAAATTTACCCGAAGAAAATGCTCCTCCACTCACACCATTTACCCCATCACTAATGTTATATTTTGTTATAAAGAAAATGACAATCATTATGAAAAAAACATATAGTAAACGCTTCACCACTAGCGGGTTTCCCAACTTTAAAATGGATTTCTCGTACAAGAGATTAAAATGACTGTAGCCTTCGTATATAGGATCGATTATTCTGCTTACCGGATGCATTACCCTAGTGCTAAAATTACTTGCAAATTTCTTCGTCATAAATGACGCCCGTACCATGAACCCATCATTTTCTCTTGGTTGTTCGAAATCTTCATCTTCTATCTCAAACTGCTCTATTCCGTTATCGGCTGTATCTACTAGATTAGACTCTAAATCATCATAATTAGGCGGTTGGCTAGGTATATCTGTTTCATTTGAACTTATCCGCTCATACAGCTGATGGTTCTCACTCATAGTAATATCCTCAACCTATTAAATAAAGACTATGCTATGGTGTATTTGATCTATTCTTAATTTAGGCAATGCTTACTATAACTCCAGAATTCTTAGCGTGTATCGGTTAAATAAAAACACGTGCAATATTTAATGATTTATTTAGTGATCACTATAAGCAAAGGATTCTTCCTGATCTTAGTTGATTGTGGAAGAGAGATATAGGTTTAAGTTTCAGTGAAAAGAAGTGAAACTATAATCTATTTCCACTATTATTATCCAATTTTTGTATTCTCGGGATACCTACTTTTCATAGACATCCTAACATGGAGAATAGGCTCATCATCAATGAGTATTAATAATAAAGATCTGATTATGTCATTGACACCCAAGAACGATTCCAATGTACCCAATAGAGGATATGTGGGTGATAAGTCCAAGGAGACGTTGTCGAAGAAAAAAAACCAACAGAATAAGCCAAAACCTAAGCAAAAAGCGAAATATAGCAAAGAATTTGGTACATTGAATGATGACTTTTCACAGAAGATAGAGAATCAAATAAAGAATGGTAAGCCCGTTAATGGTACGAATAGGAAAAATCAAATTTCTATTAACCATTTGTTAGAATTCCAGTCGTACAGGGACCTGAAGGAGTACCAAAGCCGTCATTTGAAATCCAAACGAAGGGACAGCAATAACCTGTCAAGACCGGCAAATTCTCATGGACATAAATCGAAGGATTATTACTACTCAAAAGTGCATTTAAAAGGAATGTCGTTCATTAATGTAAACTACAAATTCGTGGTTGATTATAGAAATGATTATAAAGCACAACAGTTAGATCCCAATGTGCCTATTGATACGAAAGATATTTTGCGGATTGTTGTACCAAAGGGTAATTCTTGCCCCATTTGTTTGTCTGATGAACCTGTAGCACCTAGAATGATTACATCCTGTGGTCATATTTTATGTTTGACATGTCTATTGTCGTTACTAGAAAGTGAAGTTCCTGTTTTCAAAAAGAGGGAAAATACAGCTGTTGTTGAAAAGTACCGCGATTGTCCGTTATGTTTTTCCGTTATACGTAAGAACGAGATTAAACCCGTATTGATTAATAATATAGATGAGAGGTTTGAAGTTCCAAAGGTGAATGATGAAGTCGTGTTATCATTAATGGTACGGCCGCATGATAAAGTGTTGGCTTTACCTAGTAGCCACAAAGAATACCATGAAGTAATTGACAGTTTTCCATGGGTTAACCAATCCATTCTGGATATGCCTGATTTTGGACAATTCCTGAGGATTTTCAAAGGAGACTTACATTATTTACTTAATATGTATGAACTGGAGAAACGAACAATATTAGCAGCATACGAAGAAGAAAAGTTGCTTTATAATGACGATGGTAAGTTCACAAAATTGGCAATTAAAAATATTGATGACGATATTGCAAGATGGAAGACTTACTATGAAGATATAGAAGGAAAATCATCAAAATACGTAGGTGATCACCGTTCTAAGAGTAAAGAATTGGATTCGTCAAATTCGTATTTTTATTATCAAACTGGATTCAATGCGTCCTCTACATACGTTTTATCTCCGTTGGACATGAAGGTATTGAAAACAAATAATAATAACAATTACACACATCTACCGTCTTCTATAGTGGCAAAGATAGAGAATATAAAGTACGAAGAATTGGCACCCGAATCGTCAATTACAAAGTATAAATATTTATCACATCTACCATTGGGAACTACTATTGGATTTTTGGAATGTAACTGGTCGCAAAATGAATTCATTAGTCCTGAGACCTGGCAAATCTATAAGAATGACTTACTTAAGAGAACGAAAAATTCAAGCAAGAAGTTCCGTAAGGAGGAAAAAGACAGGAAAAGGGCTATGAACGAAGAGGAGATTAAAACCAGGAATTTCTTTGAACGGGAGAATAATGGCAGTAATGATCTGAACGATTACTACGACTCTCAAATCGAACATGGGAACTTTGGAAGTTTAAGTATTATTGATCACCGTGAATTGCCGCCACTTTCTTCAGAAAATGTCTTGGAGCCTAGCCAAAATAATGAAATAAGTAGCGATTCTTCTGTAGGCGAATATCAAACTACCATTTGGGGTACTAAGATCCCAAAAGCTGAAATTGTGAACGATGATTCTGACAGTGACGATTGGGATGCTACAGAGATGATCAGAAAAGCAAAAGAGGAAATTAATAGACAAGAAACCGATAAGGGAAAAGGTAAGGGGAAACAAAAGAAGAAAAAGAAACTCGTTCTTCTTTCATCTAACTCTAATTGGCAAATGTAATTCTACAATGCATTTATATAGTGTTGTGACTCTAAAATATACGTTTTAACTAAATGTCGTTTTCGAATGTCGCTCAATATCGCGATCAATATGCTTTAAGCTATCGTCTACACTTTTTGATATACTATATCACTTATTAAGTAAACGATGTCAGCCCTTAAGAAGACCAATTTGAAGTATGTTATCAAATTTTGTTCGTAGATCTACTTTATCTGGTAGATTAAATGAGGATACATGAAAAACTAACCGGAATTAGCTCAATTGTTCAATTACGTGCTACGTGTGATGATAATTTACATGCATCTTTATCAGAGTTGGGATATACGCAATCCTTCAGCTTAATAGATACGAAGCTAGCTCTAGGATATCTGACTGTTGTGATAGCTGGTTTATTGTACGTGGTGGATAAAAAATTTGGATTCGAGAAAACTTATAATGTCACGGTAATTTCGGTAATTCTTTATTTTTTAATCAGTGGAATTTTATTCTATTTGACATCGACAAAGAAGTATAAGAACGTCAAGTACGTTGGTTATGACGATTCCAATAAAAAAATACTGGTTGCAACATGGACAAATAAGTATGATCCAATATACCACTTGAAAATTAGATTTAATGACGAAGAAAGTTTGGCCATTGTCACCAGCTTTGAATTTATGAAAGTTTTTGATGCTTTCGGATATTATAAACAAGACGAGTTGACTAGATTGCTTAAGAATGAATTGGATAAAATCAACAAGAAGAGTAATTAAATATATGGTGTATATTATGCCATCTAATAAATAAAGTATTTACATGTATAACTCATTGATTTTCTTTAATCTGAGTGTCTATACCCGAAAACCATCTACAGTAGTCTTGCATAAATATAGGCAAGCTTTTAACAATTGGCAAGAAGTTTGCATAAAGTGGAGCACATAACACACCTTTTTCACCTTTTTCTATTTTACGTATGACGTCTTTTGCCAAATCAATATGATTGACTACAGGTGCAAGGAATTTCATTGGAGGTATTACATCACCAAACATACTTGTAGTTAACTGGCCCGTAGTCACCAATAATAGCCTAATCATTGGCAAATGTGATACTTCCTGGGTTAAAGCCTCGTGTATTTGAATTATGGCTGCCTTAGATGCAGAATAGATAGACAAATTCCTAGGTGCAAGTGTGCCCAATATAGACGATACTGAAACAATGAATAGATTATTGTTCGTAAGTTCTCTAGGAATAACTTCTTCCACATGGTTTTTCAAGATAGCCTTTAAAACTAGTATATGAGACATAGTATTGACATTAAAAATAGAATCAATTTTTTCCTGTGATAGGTTCAATAAAGATTCGTTGTGTCTTATACCTGCATTATTAATGCATATGCTGATATTTTTTTTTTGGTTGTTCAAATTCTTTATGACTTTCTCTATTACAGACTGAAGCTCCTTTCTATTCCCCACATCACATTTATGATACTCTATATTCGACATGTCTTTATCAATAAATTGGAATTCAGGGCTAATTATATCCAAGATTATAACTTTGCCAACTTTCTTTTCTAGAATTAATTCTTTGGTAATTTCTAGTCCTAGCCCTCTAGATCCCCCAGTAATCAATGCAATATCCTTTTCACTGATTGCTTTAAACCTGGGGGAAGTTTTGTACTTTTCACTGAACCTATGAAGGTATATGCAGAAAACTAGAAGTATAGAAGTGACATTATACTTCCAATGAAAACCGTCGAATGTGCTAAAATCGAGTTAGATCTATGGCCATTAATTAGCTAGACAATTAACATACATACCTTAGAAATAAAACTATGGCCAAAAAGTATTTTGTTGAATGCCATAGTCCAATGATGAGTTTGTCAATGTTCATATTACAGCTAGCAATCTCATAATTCAATCATTCTAATTTCAATTTTTCAGTTTCTGATAATCGCATTATCAGTGAAATAAATTGACAGACGCATTTAATTAATGTCTATATTATATTATGCCATATTATCTTGTATTATGACATTACATTATTTTATATTATATTACATTATATTATATTATATTATATTATACTAAAACATGCAATCAATTTCATTGAAATTTTGTTTCTCTATCATAATTGTAACCTCTTGCGATTCCTGCTCTACCGTCTTCAACAAGGGCACCATCTTCATTATTTGCTTCCTCGTCACTATCATTTTGCTGGAAATCACTTCCTAAACCGGTCCAGTGTCTTGTTTGTAAATGCATAGCAGAGGTAGATACGGTATCTTTAATTGCAACAGCATTAGAAAACTTCTTCACTAAATCTTGGGATCCCTCATTATCTACTTCAGGGTGTTGTTCTTGAGAAGAGATTTGTAAATGTTGTAATTTTCTTAATGGTTTAGACGTACTAACATACTGGCCAGTAACGGGGTTAAATTCTGGAGCTTCATCATCAGAATCTTCTTCATTATTATCAGTTTCATTGTTAATCTCTTGCTTGTTTCTCTCGTCTACCAAATTCATATCTTCTAACACCTTATTGAAATCTGTAACCCATTTTCCACTCCAATTCTGTTCCTTATTTAATGCCAACAATAATTCATAAGGAGTCACAATGGGCTTGTAATATTCATTATTCTCATCTATAATAATCCCTTGGTGGTCGCAACCTAAAACACACCATATGTCAATATTTTCAAAGTTAGCCAACTTCGCTACGTTAGGCTTTCCAACCACAAATACGTAATGCTTTTTCCCGGCCTCTTTAATTTTCTGACCTATTTTATTTATCAAAATTTTTGTATTCGCCAAAGATAGAGTATTCACCAATAAACCAACAGTGCCCGCGGATCGAGCCATATGCATATATCTATAACGACGCATTAATTTAGGGTATGGACCTTGGGATGCTAATCCACATTTTGGTTCAAACGTAGTGACCGATTGAAATCTAGTTGTGAGCTGCAATAAACGTGGAACAGCAGGAACCTCTATATGAAATAGATCATGCTCCATTAAAATAGCATCAATGTCAGTACCTATGTCAACCTTATCTAATCCGATAATCGTTCTATTCAAGACATTCAAAATCGAGCTTTGAGATGGACAAGGGTCGTAGCCAATAATACTAGCATTAGAAGATGGACCTAAGTACAAATCTGCGTAAACCAAATTTGGATACTCAGGTTTTAAAATATTGTATAATTGATTCAAATACTGTGTATGTGGTGCATCTGCCATAATCAATATTTTCAGATCTCTATTTGCATAAGCTTCCTTAAATTGAGTAATCACACTATCAAGTTTCAAGCTAGGCTTACCAAATACATACGCTGCTGGTAATGATTCTACAACATTAAGACAGGCATCACCAAAATGTATAACAAGATCACTATTGACATGACCAGCTGCAACTTCATCAATACAGCATGATGAATATGATGTATCTGCTAATATCCAAAGTTTTTGAGATAAAGAAGATTCAACTTTACCCGCCTTACAGCAGCTATCAGAAGAACACTTGACTTCGCTAGAATCCTCAGTGAGCGGCATAAGTCCTAATTCTCTTTGTAGTTCATGTACAATAGTAGCAGAATCGCAAATCAAAGAATCTGGAAACTGAAGTGTAACATGTTTATATTTGGGGATCATATCAAGGTCATGCCCTTCGACTTTCTGTCTCAAAAAATTACATATTTCACTAATGTTGTAATATTCTCTAATTCTTTTTATGACTTGATCATCGGTTGCATCATTCGGAAGATCCAAATGACTTCTAACAACCGCCTTGGAACAAACTTTATCAAACTCGAACGTAGAATCATCTTGTTGAGTGGACAATGCTGGAACAATTACTCCTTCAGTGGTCATCCTAGTTCAAAATAAGATCAAAAAATTTAACTCTATGTATTAGATATCTCATCTATAAATTTTCAAAAATATTTTTATCTCAATTACGGAGGAGTTGCGACAAAAAAAAAGAATTCTTCTATGTAATTTTATATAGATCAGATATATTCAAGATAACTACAAATCTCCTGCCCATTCAGTCGGCATCGGTCTATATACAACCACAATACCTTGGGTTAAGTTTTGTAGGCAAATTTCCGTTTTCTTTACTATCTTCAAATTATTAATATTCTGTTCAGCTATTATCAACTTATCTCCGGTATTTTCCAATACCACTGATGTATGATCTGGATTACCCACAGTGCTCACTGATCCTCGACTTTTATCCTTAAATGTACAAGAAGTATATTGCAAAATATCACCTCTTCTCAATTCATCTAAAGGTGATTTTCCATCAACGTATGAGATACCATTTTCAGAACCCCGAAGCAGAATTATAGGATAACCATGGTGATAATAAGTTGATACAAACGCATGTTTTCCACAACCCTTTAGCAAAGCATCACGAGCAAGATCCCAACACTCTCCAGTTCCAACTTTCTGGCCAATTTTATTCTCACTCCATGAAGCTACGTATTCGCCAAACCTATTTTGGTTAGCAATTAATTCATCCACAGTTGGTATTCTATTAAATATTGGAGATGGAATAAATTTAGTAACTTCTACTTTTGCATTGTTGATATTATCATTCAGCCATGTAATGGCGTAAGAAATCATAGCCAAATCGCGTAGCCTTAAATTAATATTCCTAGTATGCGATTTGTCAGAACCACGAGTGATATACAGATAAGTGGTATTGTAGTTAAGACCAGACAAATCCTTAGGCAATACCATTGGTCCCGAGGTGGTTGCGAACCAGCCTGTTGACAACTGTAAATCAAGATTTGGGGGACCCATTTCAATTGGCGGAGCAGCTGCCTTAGCTCTTCTGTAATTCCTGGATGGAGGTGGAGGAGGTGGAGTAGAATTATTAGACGTAGCACTTCGAGGTCTTGGAATTGGTGGTGGAGGAGTGTTGGATTTGTTGACATGTAGATTACTAGGCGAGTCAGAAATGGGCAGATCATTCTCAATATCCTTAGAACCGAATGCCATTACAGGTTTGGTTCCAATGATAGGTTTCGTTTTTACATCAGGTTTGGCCTTTATTTCAGGTTTGGATTTAATTATAGGCTTTACTTTTGTCTCTGGCTTGGGTGAAATAGAAGAATTTGGGGAAATTTCAGGCTTTGGACCAATTTTTGGTTTGGGCATCACCTTCGGCTTTGGCTTCACCAGAGAAGGAGTGGAATTAGACGGCTCCGTTTTTGCATGATTTTCAGAATTAACTGGTTCTAATTTACTCTTCAATTCTGAATTAAAGTCTGAATTTAAATTGCTCTTACCACTTAAACTATTATTCGTATTTTTTCGTAAAGCAATTTCTTCGGCAAAGTTAGGCATGGAATTTTTTGTTTCTTGTTTATATGTATCGGTTTCTGCATTTTTTGGAGGTCCATTGGAAGATAATTGCGTGGGCTTCTTTGTAGGTTTCGGAGGTGGTGCTTTCTTTTGAGAACCGTCAGAACCAGTGTTGTCTCGTAATGGTAGAGGAACAGGTAAGCTAGATTCTTGGGAAGACGCAGAATTCACGCTCACGGTATTACTCCGTGGTGGAGGAACAGGAGTAGACGTAGTTTGCAACTGCTTTTGGGTTGTGCTACTAGATTGACGAGTAGGCAATGGTGGGGTCTGTCGAATGTTTGATGAAGCTGAGTTAAGCGTAGTTTCAGAATTTTCTCTATATGGTTTAGGAGGAGGCGGTCCTAGTTTTGAAGGATCCATATCCAAAGTGGTGGGCTTTGGGGTACTCGGAATTCCATATTTACCAGCAGGAGATGGTTTTCCACTAAGGCCAGTCTTCTTAAAAGATGGAGAATTCGATGATTCTGAAGCTCCCCTGTTTTTATGAATTGGAGGTGGCGCAAACAGGGAAGGATCAGGTAAAGATTTTTTAACAGGTTCGCTATCTACTTGAGTGGGTTCTTGTTGGATATTTTGCATTTGGCTATCACCATATGCTGGTGGATGTTGGCTCGAAACATCTGCTTCCGAAGGCTGTTGGTACGGCACTTGCAGTTGTGGTTGAGGTTGGTAGATAGGCTGTTGAAATTGTTGTTGCGGTTGGGTCAGGTATGATTGTTGCTGCTGTTCTACCTGGTACGTGGGTTGTTGAGATTCGGCAGTATAAGACTGCTGTATGTGTCCATTTTGTTGTTGCTGATGCTGGGGCTGAAATTGAGGTTGAGTTCCCGCTTGGGTTGGAGGTGTCGGAATTGGCCTTTCACCTTCTGTAAGTGACTGTGATTGAATCTGTTGTTGCGGCTGGTATGGAGCTTGGGAATGTTGCGCACCTTGAGAATATTGTTGTTGAAGCTGTTGAGGCTGTTGCGGCTGTTGAGGTTGTTGAGGTTGTTGAGGTTGATATGAAGCCTGAGAATATGGTTGCTGAGGTTGTTGAGGTTGCTGAGGTTGTTGAGGTTGATATGGAGCCTGAGAATATGGTTGCTGAGGTTGTTGAGGCTGTTGGGGTTGGTATGGAGCCAGTGAATACTGTGCATTTTGAGAATAAGGTTGTTGAGGTTGTTGAGGTTGTTGAGGTTGTTGAGGTTGCTGAGGTTGCTGGCCTTGTTGACCTTGAGCCTGATGGTCCAAAGGCCTCACTTCTCCAGGTCCCGCAACTCTCGTAGGTGGGAGCGGATACGCATTGACGTCAACATGTCTAGGTTGGCTCTGGTAATAATTTGATCCCGTATTTGAACCTGTATTTGAACCTGTATTTGAACCTGAATAGGCACCTGTGTTGGCACTTGTATTTATGTTGTTACTATTTTCATAATTAGATCTTTCTATCTTGTCTGCTTCATTACCTGGTGCTCCCTTTCTTTCACCTTGACTATTCTTGTATGTTCTGTACCCTGCCTTTCCTAATGCTTTAGTACCTGTTCCAATTCCTTTAGCCGTGGCTTTCCCAGCAGCAAGAAAAGTGCCTTTATTATTATCCCAGAATGACATTATTATGGGATCAAAACGTATAGTAGAAAAGAATCAAGTATAGGTTTCCTGAGTCGAATTATTGATATTTAGTGTAAATCGCATAAAAATCGTGATTTGCTCAAATTCCGTATTAAAACGTATTTTGCATCTATATATATTTCATGTAACGATATATATCGATCAATTGATCATTAAGACCAATAAATAACTAAAAACACTACCAAATGCTAATCCTACACTTAAAAATACGGTGGTAAAACCTCCAGCCGCTTCTTTTTCGTCATCGGTGTCACAATTGTTGCCCACAATCATGAAGCATGAAGTACAAAGCTGACCATTTGACAAACCAAACAAAAATTGTAGTAATATATACCATATGTCTGAATTAATTATAGCATTGGATTTTTCGGAGGACGAAGAATTAATATTACACGTTAGGAACAACGGAATAAAGATTAATCTGGCTATTGAATACATCAATAAAACTTTAGGGTTCTTGATAAGAACAGCCAACCTTGGCTTCCCACAGCACACCCGTCCTAAAAAATCCCCTAAGTTCCATACTAGATAAATGAACGGAATGAATATTTTCCGCTGTAATAAAATATGGTCCGAATTCGTATGGACTGACTCAACAGTAGACGCAAAAACTGGGAATATTAAGGTTATACCAAAAGTTAAGAAAATAGTCAGCACAATTAACTTCAATTTTGACCATAAGACAGTAAATGGAACATAAGTCTTTTGGGATAAGTCAGGTTCTTCTTCCGTGTCGTCATCAGAGCTATTCAATGGTTGTTGTTCCTCCACCATTTGATTTAACGTTTTGTAAGTATTTTCTACCTTATAACGATTAGTGAAATATAATAATGATATTGAAAGCACAGCTATCAAACTTGCTGTGATATAGTAAATGAAAACTCCATAATTCTTATCCATATATCGATTCTCCTTGTCTGTATCTGCTTTTTTGTCTCCAACGATTAATATTGATATAATTAATGCACTTGAGGGCAATACACCGGCAATTGCCTGTCCAACCATGACCCCATTGGCATATAAACTACCCATGACATTAACGGTGGCCATAGTACCATTCTGGGCTAAGCACGTTGCAGCAGCAGATATGAACACCATAATCATCAACCCTGTAAAAAATAGGTAGTCGTCCATTGTAATGAAGACATTCAAAACGCATGAGAATGCCATAATGACGAAAACTCCAATTGTTATAGAAAACCCAACATTAACTCTATGATTATAATTCACTCCTACCTGTACTTGAGATAAGTAATAATTGTATAATGCCGATGTTATCGTCGATACGGACATCATTGTTGACGAGTATATTTTAATCAACTGTGGTGAATGTTCAAACCGTTCGGAATAAAATGCAGATGCCGATAAAAAACAATTCCATGGCCATAATAATGCTATACCTATTATTGTGAATGTGAAATACTTCAACTGGGATAATTTAATTTTGAATCTACGATTAATCTGAAATATTGTAGGATCATGCATTGCATGATGTTCTGGTCGTGTTGCCTCTTCTGAGTATCTAGGACTATGTGACACCATATTTCCTAATTCTATTGACGTCCTCCTAATCAAAACCGCTGATTGTATTCAATTTTTATCAAATGCTGAATAGAAATTCATAAGAGCTTATCACAACTATTCTAATAGTACGCGTTGGATTTCTCTTATCTACTTAAAATCATACACAGGATACATATTACAAGCCATTATTATATTTAATGCGGGAATATAGGACCATACTAACTGGTATACGTATAAAAGTGACTATTGACCGTCCCTTAGTATATTATAAAGCAGACTTGGACTAAGAGCTTATTTAAACATAAGAGTGTCTTTTGTAGAATTAGCTTAACTTACATCTAGTCTGGTTAGGTTCTTTTTGTCTCGAAATACAGTGTGAGCTTATAGTTTCTAATGACATTAATTTAATGAAAGCTATATACAGATTATATAAATGAATTTATATGAAAAGGGTTGGAATAGATTGCGAATGGAATTTGCTTTATAAAGTAACCGGGCATTCATTTCTTGGATCTAAAATAAACTTCCTTAAGATGTTCTTTTGGGTAAATGGCTTAAGCTCTTCAACTGGGGTCTTTGATAAGTCGGATAATATTTGTTGACGGTGAGATGTGTATTCTTCACTCATAAGTTTTTCCAATATAATTTTAATATTATCCACCCTGTTTTGAAGTATGGTTAAGTCCTTGGCAGCCTCATTAACTTCTAATTTCAATACCGGCTCAGTCGAAGGCCATGATTTAATGTTATATTTTTCCTTAATGGCATTTATTTCGCTCAAGAGAAACTCTCTGTCTGCAGATGGGTCACTCTGGAAAGTATTGGACAACTTATCCAAAGTTTTCAAGTCCTCAACTTGAACGATGGTATTCTCATATTCTTTCCTTCTTTCCAAGAATTGTTGGATCTTTTCTGTTGCTTCCTTCGCAACCTTTTCTTTGGCCAATGATTCGTACAATGCAAATTGCTGACCTTTGTTAATTTTGATGTCAGCGATAGCAAAATATTTTCTGGCTGATATCTTAGGAATAGCCTGGATTCTAACTATATCTCCCTCTTTACAAAGGTTCCCTTCATCGTGAACCAAGTAATCTTTTCTTTTAATGACTTCTTTATGAACTTTAGTATCATATGCCTTGGTTTGCACTCTAACCTTTACGGTTTTCAGCATCTTACCTTGCGATATAACAAGCCCAATGAAGTTTTGTTTAGCCATTATTTCTATATCGTAACCTTAGCTTCTCTTCGAACTAGATGGTATTATAGTACTACAGGACTTGTTTGAGTCGGTGAAAAAAATTGAATTTCTCATAGAATCAAAAATGTTACCCGGCAAATACTTTATCATACAATTAATTACGCTATATACTACAACTTTGCTTGTTTATATGTATATATATATCACAGATAGTACACTACGAAGACTCGTTATAGACCTCTTTTAAACATTTCTGTAACTTTTCAAGCAAAATTTTATTTTCGTCTGCGGTACCCACGGAGATTCTTAAGGCACCAGTACAGTTTAATTCGCTACCTCTGAATCTGACAACAACCTCGTTGGATACTGCTAGCTTATTATATAAGGCTTTGGCAGTTTCATTCGAGGGTTCCTTATTTTTGTCTAGTATTTCAGCTAAGACGAAGTTTGAGTCTAATCCGCCAATGTTTCTGCCTATACCTTCTATTTTCTGTAACCCATTCATCAATAGATCTCTCTGAGTGATTATGGAAGATACATATTTGGACATGATCTTCAATCCGCTGTCACTAGAAGTAGCTCTTAATGCAACGTTAGCGGTTAACGATGAAATGTTGTAAGGATACTTCATAGCGTTCAAGTACTTAGACAATTCTGGATTTGCGAAGGTTATACCCAATCTAATGCCGGCTAAACCAAATGATTTGGATAATGTTTGTAAGACGACCAAGTTTGGGTATTGGTTAACCAAAGTCGTCATGGATTCACTAGTGTTATCTGCTTCAGATTCAGTGAAATCAATATATGCTTCGTCTACAACAATCAATCCATTCCACTTCGAAGCTGCAGATTCTAACAATTGAACTATATCCGATACCTTCAATAACTTACCAGTTGGGTTACCAGGCGATGTTAAGTATGCTAACTTAATTGAGCTATCATTAGTCACCTTGTTGAGAATACCATCAATATCCACCTGGAAGCTTGGATACTTCAATGGAACCTCTGTCAATGCCACATCATTAACCGTAGCACAAATTGAGTACATACCATATGTTGGAGGGCAGATCAATAACTTATCCTTACCTGGAACGCAAACGCAACGTAATAATAAATCAATGCTTTCATCTGATCCAACACCTAAGCACAAATTCTCAGGTGTCAATTTGTACTGGTTATAATCCTTCAAGAATTTATTTGGTTTTTCATTACGAATTGCAATGATTTGTTCCTTCAAATCAATCTGATGTGGATCTGGATATCTGTTTAATTCTAAGGCTTCTTCTTCACTGGAAACATCTTTCAAAGCCGGACCATGAGTATTTTCATTAGCATCGAGCAAAACGCCCGTTTTAAAGTCGTCTCTGGCACATCTATAAGGCTCAAGAGTTAAGATATTTGGTCTTACAAGAGATTTCAATTCAAACATAGTTATAATTCTAATATGCTCCTTCTCATTGAAATATTCGGCTTGACTTCTTTTAAGTATCCTAGCGATATGACTCTTATATGCTGCACGTGCTACAAACCATAAAAAAGATAATAAAGGGTAACTTTTAAACCGTGTTGATGAATTTGTACTGAAATATACGTAATTATTAAACGAGTTTTTAATTTATAAGAATGAAGAGCTACTGTTTAAGTATACCTATAAATTCTTTACCTAATAGTGTTATCGTAGTTGAGAGTAAAGTCTAATGTAATATGAAGAGCGCACTAGTTAAGTAACAACATATAACTATTTAGAAGTCAATACCACTGAATGGGACATTCAAATTGCTGCAAGAATCTTTATGTAAACCACATTTGCATCCATCAACTTGTACTTTGAGAAATGATTTCGGTATTGTTGTGACCATTACCGTTCAGTTCATTATTTGTCATTTCTATCGGTGACAAAGTAGGTGAGACAAATCTAACACTAAGATTCTGCCTTTTACTTTTATCGCGGGAAAAGCTGGATTTGTACTTTTGTTGTAAAATCCCTTTAATGGCGGTAAGGTTATCTGATAAGCTATTGGGGGTTGTTGGAATAGAGGGTGTTTGCTTATCGGGTTCTTCCATTTCGGGTGCAAAATCGATGTTTTCGTTATGGCTTTCTCTCTTACTGTTCTGGGCGATAAGATTTTTGCCTGAAAAGCATTTAGATAGTAAATGTTTTCGAGATTGATAGTATAAATGAGAATCTATTTCATCGTCTAAACTCTTAAATTGGGAATCTTGAGGTTTTGAGGATTTTTCATATAATATATTTTTAATTGGTCCTATTTTGAGTGCCATTCTGAATGTACTATAAGGTTGTTTCCAAGTATTTTGGTCAGCAGAAGATACCTCAATATTCTCTATTCCTGGTATATCCCTTAAGGATGGTCTATGAGTATTAGGCGAGAAGACCGTGTTTTCTAACACGGCTGATTCTGTTTTAGGCGAGTCATTTATTATAAATTGGGTATCAGTTTTACCTTTTGACCCAGGATGGACCAGAGTACCAATTCCTGTACATATTTCTTCTGAAATATCTACTGCTGTACTACCTACTGATAAATCTTTGCTGGTGTATGAAACTCTCTCAGTTTCGTCATTCATCGATCTCAAATTCTTCTCATCTCTTTTTGCATCCAAAGCTTGCTCCAATTTAAAGAACCTATTAAAACTTTTTTCACCCTCAGAGTTACTATTATAGTATCCTTCATCCTTTGGCTGTTCTCGTAAGCCATTTCTTTTCCGATATGTCTCGAGGATTCTAGACAATCCTTTTCTTGAGGTTCTGCTTTCGTCTAAATCCTCATTCAGCCTCAATTTTGAATATTCTGGATCACCTAGCAACTCTGATGTTTTCCCAGCTAAATTGGATTGTCTTCTATGAAAGAACTTAGATAGTATCCCTGAAACGGTTCTCCCAATGGTCCTATTAGTATATTCATATTCTGAATAACTTCCCCTAGAATTTCCGTAATCATTGTCCCCTGTAACCAAGCAATTAGGTTTTAAAATCAAATTTCCCATTTTTCTTTTCTTTGGCTTGAATTTGTTAGTTATGCTACTCGGCATTGTTTTGTATTCCGTTTGTTCAGAGCCTGCTTCCTCAGTTTTTGCATCCTGTGGCTGTCCTTCATCCTTAGAATGTGAAGAAAAATTAATATCATTAGCATCAATGTCTTTTTGTTCTAAAGTCATCCTACTGTTTTTCCTTTTGTCTATGCATCAATTCAAGATTTTAGAATATGTTTTACTTTAATGTTCAAAATAGGGTTGAGTTTTTAATATTCTCACTCAGTTATTTATAACAAATAATTACAAAAAAAACTACTAAAATAAACTAATCTCATTAACTTACAGTATGGCTTACTTCTGTATCAACAAGTAATCTTGGGCCAGAACGTATTTGAAGATATTCAACCATGTTGCAGCCACAAATGGATTGCAACTTTCTCGTAGATTCTAGTATTACATAATCATTCAATTTCTACGTGTCAAATTATCAAACAAAACCGCTATAGTAAATACTTATTTAGTCGAGTTTTCATCTTCAAGCAAAATGAACGTGGCATTAGGATACGACGCTAAGACGAAAAAGATATCTTTACCAGATGAGGCAGAGAAATTGGTTCCTACGCTCAAATTAGAAGTTGATCAATTGAATACGTTGACCAGTGAGCTTATAGCTAATGGAGTCGACGTACCAGCACCACCAACACAGGAGAATTTCAATAAGGACATGACAAAGATGATCAGAAAATTGTACGAAGGAGGAGTTCAGGCATTCAAGCAGGGAAAATTCCAAGAATCCGCCAAACAATTTACCATTGGAATCGACATGATATGTAGAAGACATAAATTCGAAGCATTCCAGGGAACTTTACAAGAGCTCAGTTTGTTTCTTATGAGTAGAGCGGATGCTTATTTAAAGACTAAAAACTACTTAGGTGCATTTAATGACGCTGATATGTTACTTGGGATGATGTTGTGCACACCTGATAACTTCTTGAGAAGAGGAGTAGCCAACTACTTCTTGGGTAATTACGAAGCAGCTAGAGCTGATTACCAAAGAGGATTAGCGTTTGATGAAGATAATGAAAGACTTTTAACAGAATTAGAAATTTGTTTAGATAAGATTCTTGAGGAAAATGGTGATTATCTTTGAAATTCTTTAATACTCGTAGCACATAATAAGAGCCAGTCTCTTCTTATCCATTTGTACTATATTAACTATATAACGTATATAAATTTTTTCCTTTAATCGATATAAATATTAGGTATAAATACTGAAGAACTAATCGTAAATACAGCGCTCGGGATTTTAGCGATCATCGCTATATCAGAATTTAGAATTTAATCAAAATAAAGTATTTAATATAAAGCGTGCTAACCATATATAATAATGGCATCTGATGAGCCATCGCAGAACATAATAAATCTTTCTTCTGATGATGACGAAGATGTGGATGAAAATGTTTCACATAAGGATAATCAAATAAATGGGAACGAAATACATGAAATAGGTAGTATCCAAGATTGGAGGCAAGCGAATAGCAATGGTAACAACACCACACACATTAATCACGCTCTAAAGCGACAGAGACTTGATTCTTTGTACCTGAATAATGGCCCGTTTAGACCGGCGTCGACCCAAGGCAATGATTTAAGCTATATAAATAATTCAAACCATATTCAACAACGCCAGTTATATCCTAAGACACTTCCAAATCGGGTAAACGAATTAGATAGGATAGTATATGGACCACAATCATTGCTGAGCAATAATACAATTCAAAACCAGCCCAGGGAATCAGGACCTCAATCAATACCCAACAATAATCTAATCCAAAACAAATACATGCAAGCAAATCCACAATCTATTCCTAACAATAATACGTCGCAAAACCAATCCCGGCAAGCAGATCCACAAGAGGATGTAATCATTCTCAGTAGCGAAGATGAAGATATGGATTCAGATGGAGACATTATGATATTGGATGCTGAAGAAGCCTCACGTATAGGAAAGTTTAAGACATCATCATTCGAAAGAAATGCAAATAAGTCATCCAGGGAGATGGGAAATTATGAGGCTCCAGCCAATACTCTTACAAATGGCCCAAATGGCCCCTACTATTCAGTTCCAGCAGTAAGCCCTAATGAAACACAGGTTACGTATAACAACCCAGCTCCGGTTCCACATTTTACGAAAGATCATCGTCTAGAGGTTGAAAAACTAAACTTCCAAAGAGCACAAGACACTCTAGAAGAGAATATAAAGCGAAAGGATGAGCTCCTACATAAGCATGAACAACTCACCTCGGAATTTACAAAAAGTCTGAGAAAGGCTAATGAATTATTGCAACATTTAACCTTGTTACAAAGCCATTTAAAACGAGAAGAGTTCCAAGAAAACAGAGACGAGAATACAATTTTGTCTCTTAAAAATGAAATTTCATTCAAAGGTTCAGAATATCATAATTTCAGACGTAGCAAAGATGCAACTGCCACCTCTCTAAGTGGTATTGCTTCTAAACTATCGTGGCTAACTGTTTCTATACGAGATGCCAAATCACGCATTCATAATTATGGAAAGCATAGAAATGGTGTTAATATTATCGATAATCCCTTTGTTCTTAATAATAATTCTGATAGAAATAATTCTGATCATGAAAATGAATCAATCATGAATAATCCATTTGGAAATATACCTGGTTTCTTGGCAAATGTATATTCGGATAATGATCAACAGCATCTCCAAAATTTATTAAATAATATAAGGCCCGACGAGGAATTGGATGAAGAGGGATTATCACTCACTCCATCTGAGTTGGCTATTACGTTATTAAAGCACCAAAGAATGGGTCTTGCCTGGTTATTGAGAATGGAAGAATCTAAATCAAAGGGTGGAATTTTAGCTGACGATATGGGTCTAGGAAAAACTGTGCAAACAATTGCATTAATTATGGCCCATAAATCAGATGACGATAATCGTAAAACAACTTTGGTAATAGCGCCAGTGTCTTTGTTGAGACAATGGGCAGCTGAGATTGAATCTAAGATAAAACCTAATGCTCAAATCAAAATAGCCATATATCACGGTTCAGAAAAAAAAAATCTTCGTACATTCAATTCGTTAAAAAGATATGATGTAGTTTTGACCTCATATGGTACATTATCATCTGAATGGAAGAAACATTACCAAGGTCCATTAGAGGAAGCTCGTCTTAGTCGGAACCAAAATGTGATCCCTGATTTAGAAGCGGGAGGAACAAGTTACACTTCACCTTTTTTTGCGACTGATGCTGTTTTCTATCGAATAATTCTAGACGAAGCCCAGAATATCAAAAATAAAAGTGCAATTGCTTCGAAAGCGCTGTATTGTATAAAGGGAATCCATCGATTTTGCTTATCAGGAACACCTATCCAAAACAATGTTGAAGAACTTTATCCTATTTTGAGATTTTTAAGAATCAAACCTTATAATGATGAAAGCAAATTCCGAACTGATATAGTTTTGCCCATTAGATCTAAATCTTCCGGATATGATGACTTTGACAAGAAGAAGAGTATGCAAAAGTTGAGGGCGTTATTGAGAGCCATTTTATTAAGACGTTCGAAGAACTCTTTGATAGATGGAAAGCCTATTTTGTCTTTACCAGACAAGCATGTTACGGAAGACACAGTTCAAATGGAAGACGAGGAATTAACATACTACAGGGAACTAGAACAAGGAATTCAGAAAAAAGCTAAAACTTTATTGGCAAGTGAAAAGTTAGGTTCGACGTCTAGTATTTTAACTTTATTATTAAGATTAAGACAAGCTTGTTGTCACAGTTTCTTAGTTGAAATGGGGAGAATGAAGGCCGCTGAATCTGAGGCTGCTAAGACATTAATTACCAGGGACTGGAAATCAATGTATGTCAACATTCAGAAGTTTGACGAAGATACCATTAATAGAATTAGAAATGAGGTACATCAAGGAAATTTACTAAAAGGCGAAAATGAGGGAGAATCTAATACTAATAGTGATGAAGATTTGTTTACTTGCCCTATCTGCTATGATGTTTTGGGTTATGAAAGTATTGTTTTGTTTTCGGGTTGTGGTCATATGATATGTAATAATTGTATTGAAAACTTTTTCGAAAGGTTTGAAATTGGAGATGGCTCTGAAGGAAGCCGACTCGCGTCCTGTTTCTCGTGTTCAAAGTCAATCAAGGAAAATGAACTAATTGATTATAACATGTTCCATATGATTCATCAGGAAGGCTATGATAGAGATAAAATTGCAGAATTCTATAATATAAACTATTCTTCTAATGGTAAGACAACGAACATGCAGAAGATACGTCAATTGATACAAGAGAATAAGGGATTCACACCATCTGCCAAAATGGAGAAGTGTATGCATTTGATAAAAGATGTCTTGGAAAATTATCCAGATGAAAAAATCATTATCTTTTCACAATTTTTAAGTTTATTCGATTTGATGAAACTTGTTCTATCTAACGAGAAGATCCCATTTTTGAGATATGATGGTTCTATGTCTCTTGATGAAAAAAATAGTACTATCAAGCAATTTTACCAAGGATCTACCAAAGTTTTATTGATTTCATTGAGAGCTGGTAATGTTGGTTTGACCTTAACCTGTGCGTCACATGTTATTATAATGGATCCCTTTTGGAATCCATATGTTGAGGAACAGGCAATGGATCGGGCTCATAGAATTGGTCAACAAAGAGATGTTCGTGTACATAGGATCTTAACAGAAGGTAGCGTTGAAGGGCGTATCATGACTTTACAGAACGAGAAGAAAGAAATAATTAGCGGTGCACTTGATGAAAAGGGAATGAAATCTGTTAGCAAGCTAGGTAGACAAGAGTTGGGGTTCTTATTTGGTTTAAATGAATTGAGGTAATTCATTTGATTTGTAGTATCTATTTATTATTTTATTATTTTCTATTCAATTCTTGCCTATTTTATTACTTATATGTATAATAAACTTAATATTTAGATTTCGCTACAAAAACAGATTATGCTCTGAATTTCTTAACCTTGGCCATATTCTTTAACCAATCTTCCTCTGAAAGTATAGCATTCTTACGATAACACAATTCCCAGGTTATGAGGCTTTCGAAATCAACATTATACTTAGCCAATGATTGACAAAGGTAAATTATTTGTAATATCAATCCGTCTTTTTGCGTCTGCTTGTCAATATTATCGTCATTCTCGCTGGGTGCAATAAGCTCAGGCAAATATTTCTTTAATTCTTCGGCCAATAAGGAAGCCAAGCTCTTGATAAACTGGCTTATTAACAAATTATCTTCTTCATGTTTTATATTTATGTCATTGGAAGCTGGCGAGTAGTTGAAAATTGCGTGATAAATTGATAATGAGTTAAAAATGAATTCTCTATAAATTTCAATATATCTTTTCAAGTATGTTAGCTTATTAAATTTTAGTAAAGGAGTTAAATTCGATAATTCATTTATAATGAACTTGAATCTTGCATTAAGATATACTATCTTTAAAAATTTTTCCTTTTGGAACTTCTTATTTGATGTAATATTGACTGAAGACGATATAGCAGAAGACGTATTATAATTCAAAAGATCGAGCTTATTCAAAATCTGAAAAATCTTTAGTATATTGTTTTGTTTCAAGTTTGTATTAAGTAATTTGATTAGTCCTTTTACCATTAGTTTCAATTCTTGTTCTACTTGATAATGTATATTTTGGAATATTGTCAAATTCGGGAACCTAATGACTAATGTTTGGACCAATATCGATATCTCTAAAGATTCCTGATAATTTCCTTGTAATATACAAACCTTGCAGAGGGTTGGAAGCTCAAGTAAGTCCAAAACTGAATCAATGTTCGATAATATCGAATTATACGTGATCATTGAATTATTCAATCTTTCATTTTCTGGAATTTCAAACTTGTCCCCATTAGAATTTTCCATATCCAAGATCTTTATCATCGAATTAATTTCTTTATCAAACCCTGAATTGACATCTTCTCGGATGCTAGTCAAATCATTGCTTATATCGATAATCAAATCTCTATGGTTATTCGTTATGGATGCTAGCTGCATTTTTATTTCTCTCTGTTGCAGGTCCAATTCCGCAATTTCCTCCGTCAAGGTTCGTGATTGACCTTCTACGTTAGAAACATCAGTATTCGAACTTTTACTGGTAGTGGTATACGTATCTGTACATAGTAAATCATCATTAATCAATAAGTCTACCAAATACTGCTCCGATATTTGTCGTAATTCGGAATTAGATTTAAGAAATTCAGCCAACGTTGGCTCTAAATCCTCCAGGAGTGTGTCCAACAATATTCCAGACATTCTTGTCGTTATAGCGTCTTTATTGTATCTGCTTCTCCGGTTCTATTTCAGTATATCCTACTGATCTGGTGAATCTATTCAAACATGCAAATGTTTAAATTTACAGTTTATGTCTGGGGCACGACAAGGTCAAAATAATTGACCCTTTTCACTGAAGCTAGTGGATGTTTGATCAGTCAGGAACTTGAACTTAATAAGAGCAATTAGTAGAATGGAAGGAATATTTTTTAACATTGATTACGGTTATGTTGAGGGAGTAGTTAGGGGTTACAGAAGTGGTCTCTTAGGTAATAATCAGTATGTTAACTTAACACAATGTGATAATTTAGAAGACTTGAAATTACAGTTATCGGCTACTGACTATGGTAACTTTTTGGCATCTCATTCGGGACCATTATCAACTTCGATCATGCAAGACAATTTGTCTAAAAAATTGTTCCAACAATTCCAATATTTAAAATCGCAAGCATCAGGTAAATTAATTAGATTTTTAGATTTCATCAGCTATGGCTATATGATAGATAATGTATCATTGATGATTACAGGAACATTGCATGAAAGAGACCGTTCGGAGATCTTGTCCAAATGTCACCCGTTAGGATGGTTCGATACATTGCCTACCTTATCAATCGCAACAGACATTGAAAGCTTGTATAATACAGTCTTGATTGATACGCCGTTGGCGCCGTTCTTCAAGGATTGTCTTACGGCTGATGACTTGGATGATTTGAATATTGAAATTATAAGAAATCGTTTGTACAAGAATTACTTGGAAGCATTTGTCAACTTTATCGAGGACGAATTTACTTCACCAGACAAAGAAATAATGACCAACTTGTTGAGTTTTGAAGCTGATAAGAGAGTCATTAATATTTCACTCAATTCATTAAATAACCCAGATTTTACTGCAGAAAACAAACTATCTTTATTTCCAAGCTACGGTAGATTATACCCAACCTATCACTCTAAATTATCCGAAATCGATGATGTAGAACAATTGAAAGCTATCATCGATTCCATCGGTGAATACAAAGACTTATTTTCTGAAGCACCAGATTCCAACTCTGGTGGCTCCAAAAATTTGGAAGATTGGTTTTACTTACTCGAAATGCAATATTGTAAAAATGCATTCACCCAACAATTCACCTTATCTACTATTTGGGCTTGGTTAAGGTCAAAAGAGCAAGAAATAAGAAACATTACATGGATTGCTGAATGTATCGCTCAAAACCAAAAGAATAGAATCGACAACTATATTTCTGTTTATTGAATATATCAAGTTTATTCGTTTCCAATTATTTAATTTCATCGTATATTTCTTTCATTTACACTATAATTGAGTTTAATGACTTCTTTAAGTAAATGGCTTTCAGGTTCTTTATTTCTAAGATTTCTCTTGTTGACTTGAATATTTACATATAGATTATTTAAAATTGATAGCGCACAAAAGTTTTGTAAAAATGGCAACATTTCAAGAATTGTATTTTATCATTTTGATATACTAATTGATCCTTTCAAGATATATGCCTGATGTCCGATGAATCATTAGACTTCCAGAAATCTTCGGGAACTTCTGGAACTGATGTCGGTAGTTCACCTTTTACATTTACTGCATCTACAAATCAAGTATCACATTTAGCAGATGTATTCTCATCGGTAACATCAATTAATTCCCAGGCGTTGATGATAATAACAACAAATGGTATAATAATATACTCCGAATACAACCATATATGTAATGTACAGTTATCTATTGATCCATCCTTATTTGGAACTTATAACTTTTATTCTGAAAATAATACTAGTTCCCTGCAAAATAATGAAGAATTAAGACTTGGTGTCGATATAGGCCTAATAAGTGATGCATTTATTGCAGCAGCGTCGTCTAATGTGTCAAAAAGCAAAATAAAAGCAAATAATGGTAATAAAGTAACAACTAATGGTTCTGTTGACAATCAAGTGTGTTATATAACATACAACGGTGAAGGATACCCTTTGGTTGTAGAATTCGAAGATAGCTTAATGAGTGAAAAAATAGAGTTCTTGACGTTTTACCTTGATATAACGTATCCGTATGATATACCCAACAGTCAAGAAGAAGAGGAAGACGAACAGTATAACCTAGTCATTAATCACAGCGAAATTCAATTTGAAGTAATATTGAAAAGTGACGTATTTACTAATCTACTTAAAGATTTGCAGCAAATAAATACTATTGACTTGTTCATGTTTATTTCGAATGAAATGAGGCACTTAGGGTCAAATAGACAAAAATCAAAGAAAGGCCGAAAATCTGGTCCATTATATTTGGATAAGCAATTTAATTTCATATCTAAAGGGCCAATTGGTCTTCTGAAATTAATATTTCCAAATGAGAAAACTATACTAGAGAAATTGAATATATACGGTAAGGATCATGATGACTCCGAAATGAAACCTATAAATACTTCTTTGATTTCCTGTTATAATTTCGGTAATTTCAGTAAGATTTTCAAAGCAGTGAAGCTTTCCATCAAATGTAAAATAATGAAAGATTTATCTGGCATATTATCTATCCAATTACTTTGTAAAAATCCACAACTAACAAACTACTCAGGTACTTTAATAACATTCAATATGCTAGAAGCTACGACATTGGTCGATAAGTTTGATAACAACGAAGAACCAGAAGAATTCGAAAGATTTCACCTCAACAACATTTTTGACGACGAGTCATACGAATATATTAAAGATTACAATGATAAAAACCATAAAAGGGTTCCTATTCCTAATATAGAATCTACAAATATTCGAGAATATGAAGAACTAGGCAACGACAAAGATGAACCGCCTATATTATCATATGCTTCCTTCCGTAATAATTCGAAGCTGGCTACAAGCAATAATGTACAAATTAATGAAACGATTTATGAGGAAGATAAAAATGGAAATAATAAGAAGCGCAAAAAGGAAATGGAACCTGCTGATGATAATGATAAGAATATCAAAACTGTTGGTGGCGCTATTGAGATTCCACTCTTTTTGTGAAGTTATATACATATGTACATCATAAATAGCTAATTTTAAATGCCATTTGTAAGGTCAGTTTCAATCTTTCCATAACATTAATTTTTCTTACCTTTAAATACCTTGATGAAATGAATAGTAATAAGATAATTAACAAGATTAATGGAGAATTGGTTTTAAGGTAATTCTTCGAGAAGTTCAAAGAGTATAATAGCTTTTGTCTTAAAGAAGCAATATCATAACCACTATTTGATTCTCTAACAGTTCCATCATCCTTCTTTGATGAGTCTATTTTTCCAGACGATTGTTTTATTTGGTTTAAGGATTTATAAGTAAGATTTTGTCTATCCTTTAACTCTTTTTGATTTTGTAATTCACGCTTTTTCTTGTCGTTTAATTTCTGTTGTTTTTCTTTTTCTTTTTCCTCTTCTTCCTGTTGTTTCTTGACTTTGTCGATTCTTATGTTACTCAAACGATGCAATGATTCTTCAATTTGAGACAGATATATTGGGTTTTCACTGACTATCGAGCTTGCATCATCAAAGCTTTCGTTGTCTGGCAAGACTTGGAAAACGTATAAGTCAATTAGCTTCTTCAAATACACATCTTCTAGCCTTGAACTATAGTCGAACTGATAATAAAGTTTGTCGAATTTTAATTTCAAATTTCCCGCATTTGTAATTATAGCTCCATTAATGTAGTAGATAAGGAATAAGTTATACAATATTTCAGAGGGTATTGCATTAATATCATCATCGTAAAGTTTGTACAATTCATCTAAAATTTGATCTTGCGTCAAGGTTTTAATTACTTCTTGTCTTTCATTTCTTTCCAAATTAAAATTCGTATCTTTGTTATCCTTGTCTATGAACAACCCTATCTCTGTCAAGTACAAATTTAAAATCTTAATGAACAATTGTTCATTTATAATGTCACTAGCGAACTGCCCGAAGCTACTTTGATATAATTTCTTAATTATTTCATAGGATTTGCTAAAATTCTTGTTCATAAAGAACTTCAATGCCAACTTATAGTTACTTTCAATTAGCTGTCTCGGTTGCGACGAAGACATAGAGCTACTTAGCGATGCATTGGATTCATCCATTTTCTTTCCTTATTAAGTTTTATATTGATTGGCTATATACTAAGATCAAGTAGTAGAAGTATTTTCTAGATATATCTATTGATCATTTTTCCGTGATTCGAAAATCTCATCCTCGGTTCTCCAGGTTTTAGGTGCAAAAATACCGTAAGGTATGGGGACCAATACCAATTAATTGAATCATTTCTTATGTTTCTACAAGTGTACTACGTATATTACATCCATGTATTTTGAATCGTCTTTATATATTTATAATCTTTTACCTGCTCTCCTACATTGTAATTTTCTATGTGTTCTAAGAATATAGGTATGCCAGTACCTGAAATCCAAAAGTTCTTATTATTAATTCAGCAGTGACCGAGAAAACCTATATCAGTATGTATATTAATTGTAACACTAGGATCAGCAAAAATCACTTAATTTGTAGAATAATCATCCTCGTACATAACATTAGGTTCACCAGATTTATATTTGTCGTATCTCCAAGTATGGAACCATCTTCGGACGTAGAACCAAGTCACACCCAGTAGTAAAACTGATGTACCTACGGCAGGAAAGCACCAGTACGGTATTATCAGCTGAGATGACGAGGAATCTGATGGTGGTGGGAAGAACGGAAACACCGCTAAAAATATGTTTGAGCATAAAAATATAACAATGCATATAATAGGAGCAGAAAACTTAGACGTATCATTATCATTTTCTACTGATATTAAGGAGTCAAATTCTGTATAGCTGTCATCATTTAATTGAAGGATTAAATTATCGTTGTCGTCATAGATACTGTTATTAGCTGAATTGGTTTCTAACCCATTTCCAGTATTGTGTTTCCCCCATTTCTCACCTCTGCTATTCAAATGCAAATAAATTAACCCAATCGTTATTAACAAATTGATCCATGTACCAGGATATATATATAAATTAACAACAAACTCATATATTTCTGATGATGGAGGTGCAATCATAATTATAACAGTAATAAACCAATGCAATAATAACGAATGATTTATATCTTCAAAATATTTGGAAAAAGGTAAGTAATTGTTTCTCGCAAGCTCTTGATTAACATGAGCGTGAGCGAACGATACCACCATTACATTTCCTAGGTTAGAAGAAGAAATTATAATTGGTAAAATTCTTGACGTGATGCTTTCGCCAAAAATCTTATTGAAAAATATTCCTGCTACCAACACCCCACTATCTAATAATTCTTGTTTAGGAATCACAATTAAATAGGATATAATAACCAAAAAGTATAAAATTGTTGTTATAACAACGGCGGATGGGGCAGCAATTGTAAGAACGTGGTAAGGATCAGAGACTTCCAGTAATACGTAATTAGCATTTTCCCATCCCTTAAATGAATATATGATTTCTAATAGAGCTACCGAAATTGAATAATAGTTATTATCTTTCTTGGTCGTAGATTCAAACAAATTTGAGAAATTATTAACAGTGGTTGGTAACTTTATTATATCGACCGAGACAAGTAAACCTATTGCAATAATTAGGACCAATATGAATATCTTGAATACTCCTAATAAATTGAATAATGAAGTGCCTTGGTTTGGAAATTTTATATGTAAAAAAGTGCAAAAACTTATACATAATACCCCAATAATCTTAACACTCCACTCTTCTTCTTTAGTTTCCTCTCCATTCACTGCGAACAATACATATTTTCCAAAAGCAAATGCATTACCAGAACTGAATCCTAGTAAAACCATTTGAAAGGAATAAATACATCCCATTAGACCTTTCGGTTCACGAAACACCCTTAACAAGTAGTTCTTTTCTCCTCCATTTGTGAATGGTAAATTTAATGCAAACTCCAAGAATATCACTAATCCACTGAAAATAATTATTCCTCCTACCAACCATAAGAACAAATATAATCCAACGTTCCCCTGACAGTATTGAAATATTATAGCTGGCGTCAGGAAAATCCCCGTGCCTATCATTTTATTTACAATTAGAGACATACATGATAATGTCCCTAATTTATGATATTTTCTTCTTTCCGACAAAGGCATTCTCGAAAAAGTAGATGACCCTATGGACACCTTTGGCAATAATGTTGGTGCCATTGTATGTTATGTGATCTATCGTCTCCTAACTCTATGTATCTCTGTCTTTTATTTACCAACACCTTTTTCATATTCAGTTATCAACTATGGTTATCAGTAAATTTCACGTGACAGGATGAGTCAAATTCTACAAGCCATACAACTTATCGGTTATCAATGAATTAATCTATTATCTATGATTTATTAATGAATAAGTTAAACTTTATACTATACAAGGTATCGAAGGTTAATCGAGAGGAGTTCTAAAAGCCTGTTTTAAAACCCATATTAAAACGAATTATGAATGAAAATATGCAGGTGAGACTCAATTGAATAACGATTCAAGATCAAAGAAATCTTTGCCCAATCCATTACCTTTTATCAAGTGGTTTACACTGACACTGATACCGCAATTCTTCAATACGTTTAATTCGTCGATGTTACTCATGATTTGATTGATATCATCGTTGTCGGAGTAGTCTTGATTAACTCCGCTAGGTTCAGTGAGGGAATCGGTGGAACTGGAACGTCTCAGAATATGCGAATAGTAATAAGATTTCTTATCAACAAAGGTTTGTTGTTCGGCATCTTCATCGATGTTCACGCTGTATTCACCAACAATATGAATAGTATTGTTGATCAATTCGTACTTTGGTAAGATATTATGCTTGGAGTGATCGTATTTTTTGTCGTAGACAACTTGTTGAAAATTTGGGTCATTGTTGTTTTTGTTTTTCCACGATGTAGTACAATGGGAGACATCGTGGTTTATGGATGGAAAGTTGACATTCAAGGCGACATTCTCTGGTAATATGCCTTGTTCTGATGTCGTTAATTTGTTAATCAAGTCAATCACTTTACCATTAATGAATTTTATGTTTTTGGTGAAAACGTTCTTTTTCAACAATTGCTTGGATAAGACGTTTTGTTGGATATTGAAAAAGTTTTCGTCTTGGAAATAAATGTGGTGGTCATCACCGGTAGATACGCCAATGACAGGGTATTTCTTTAACATCGTTAAACGCATCATCGAATCCAATCCGTTATCCGAGTTGGGGTGCTTTTCGTGGAATAATGGCTGATTACTAGCTGTTGAAGGAGTCAATGATAAGCCTTCATCAGGACCCAAGAGGACCAAGTCAGGCTTGAAATCGGGCTCAAATTGAGGCAAAAGCACGTCAAAAGCAATCAATAATGACTCCAATGGCGATGCATTCACGTACCAAACCGATTCGTCCAATGGATCTTGTCCAAAGTAGTTGTTGCTGACCGTTTCAGCGGACTTATCGCCAGCACTTTCCAAGTCTTTCTTTAATATCACATTCTTGGCCCCGCGTGGCAAGTTGTTCAACTTATTTATCGCTTTGTAGTACTTCTGGTGCACTGGCAACAAGTGTCCGAAGTCTCCTCCGTTGAGAATCTCACGTTGTTCTCCTCCTTGATCTCCTTGTTCTCTTTTAGAAGCTCCACTGGCAAGGCCCGCGTCGTTTATATGTCCATTATTATTCAAAGGTGCTATCAATCTGACATTGTGGCCCTCGGCCTTTAATCCAGCGTACAAATGACGAGTGTTTTTTGACACCCATGAATCTTTTGAAGACATCAAGATATTCAATCCTAATGTCAAGTTAACAAATTGCAATGCAATCACTAATAATATTTTGATCAACATATGGGTTCCTTATGTTTGTATTTTATGCTTTCGCTGTATTAATACTATTCTAGTTCCAATAGATGCTTATTCAACACAAATCAGTATATCGTTTGATGGAACTGTGTCGAAAATATATATGTATGGTATTTCTTCAATATTTGTATGTTGAAAACAAAATTCTTAATTATGGCCCACTTCTACTACTTTTATAAGGGTATAAACTTTGAGAAAAACATACTGCATCTTTTAAGCCACATGGTTCAATAACATGCATTGACCCACATGCTATCTATTTTGACCTTTTTACCGACTGTTCATCGGCCTCTAATAATAGCCACATGGTTATATTTGCGCTCTAATTAGAATAATAGGTATGCTGAAGTAGCCCATCGAAACGTGGTTCCAATTTCCGAATAAGATGCAGGAGAAATTGGCTGCAAATTTAATATGGTCCACGTGTATCAGCACCGGGGCAAGCGGCCTAAATGGGTTAGATTGGCTCAAAGTACTATGCTTTACAGACATGCACAATTAGCAACGGGATATAAAATATCCATACAATAGTGGCTACAAGATGCAATAGTAGATATAACTTCACGTACAATTGTAAATAAAACAAAAAGCAGAAAATTAGTCAGAGACATTGGTAAGATTGCCTCAAAGAGTAGTGAATACGAGCAGCACGAAAATAGTTGCACCGATTATTAGATGGCATTGTACATCGATACCGAAGTCAAATTGGCCTATAGTTTTGTTGACATGTTTTTAGTCGAAGGTTCAGCTGGCCGGCAGTTACTGCACTACGCCTGTATTACATATGCAACGTATACTACGATATATACTACGATATATACGTATATTGTAGAGGCTATATAGTGGAACCCAATATACTGTTGTGATGACAGCTGATGTTGAGCTAATACGAGAGTCCTTTCGGAATTACGATGGAAATATGAGCTGAAGATCGCAGGCAATCACGTTTACGGTATCAGTATATGCAACCGAGCGCGGGACCAAACGTTTCGAAGGGTAGCAGATTCTCTACTTGGGGATTCGCCGGATATATACGGACTAGCCATAGGGTGCTGTTGTTGTGTGACTAGACCTTAATGGAAGAGATTCAGCTCGTTTACGGTGAGACTTAAAATAGATTGGTTATGTGTGTGGCAACAGAATCATAGTAAACATATACTGGCCATTCATATATACAATCGACTAACTCATATACATCTATGTATGCCTTAGCAGCCAGTTCTATATACACATTATGCTCAAAAAGATGTCTAGTTAACGACTTCAAATATATCTGTGAATATCTTCTGATCCGAGACGTCCAATGAGCCAAAGATTATGGTATATTTGGCATTGTCGTTGGCATGCAATCTTTGACTGAACTGTTTGAAGATTTGGAAAACATTCAAATTGTCTAGCGGCGATGCAGCTAGAGGGTCTTCGATCAACTCTTGGTCTTCTTCGTCGAAAAAGCCCGAGTTTTTTAACTTAACGTTTTCTTGTTGCAAAAAGTCCAAATACTCGGTAGTGCTGGTTTCTGGTTCGTGTGTGAGGTCCCGTGCACCCGTGTCGTCGTCGTCGTCATCATCATAGTCATTATGGTTTTCCCATGCATCGTCATAGGCTTGACCCGAAGTAAACTCGGACTCACTGAAATTCTTTCTTTTGTGCTCCAAGTTTTCGATCGCTTTGGGCAACGTTTTCATGATGGAGGCGAGCTTCGACCCGATCTGAGCGACTATATCGTTACCTAAAAGATTCAACGCTTCGTTGTTATCCATCAAACTGATCAATCCAAGTGTCGATAGCTTCAAGTCGTACACACGTTTCAAATTGGAAATGCTTTTGAACCATTCTACGAAAAATGGTACCAATTGGTGATGGTTTTGCAAGTTCATTAATGTGGCATTTGAATCACGCACCATTGCTGCAATGATAACATTCAGGATGGTAATATTAAATGAGCTGGACTTGACGTGCTGTTCATCCTGTTGCATGCTTTGTGATATCTTCAAGACGCTGTCGACCAAGTTCGGAATGTATGCTTGTGCCTGAGATTGCAACATCAATATAAATGTCTGTGCTAATTCACAAGCAAGTACGATATCGTTGAACCCTACTTGTGCATCGTCACTCTCAATTATAATATTGAAAATATTGTAGAAATTTTCTGCCAACTGTGGTGATTTCATAAGGTCTTCTTGTCCGTAAATCAAAAAGTTTTGTAAACATTGGCTTAACTCTTCCGTGTACATCAATGCTATACCATCCGTGAATGATTCGTAAAGATAAGTAAAATTTTTCCACATAATTGGGCTAATAGATCTTGAAAGGAAGGTTGAGTTTTCCATCAATTCACCTACTTCAGTTAAAAAGTCATCTATCTTATTAATCAATACAAATTCAATAACTGGAGAAAATACTTCTTCCAATTTAGCGCAAATCTCCCTGGAATTTTCGAACGATAAAAGAACCGTAATCATTGTATTTAACAAGCCAACTGCTGCCATAACTTTATCAGTTTGATCTTCATATTCTCCATCGAATTCGTCCACATCTACTTTTGATGCTTCATTGATATCAACGGCCAATCTCATAAACTGCTCAACCAATTTTGCCATTAAATCAACTCCAAATGGTTGCAATTGCTCAGAGAAATTCTCAACACATTCCTGCATTACTGCTGAAATTGCATCATTGTCTATTTGATTAGACAATTCCAATAATTTTGACATTGTAGGTAATATAATAGTCGATAATGCTTCCTGAAACTCTGGCAAATGAATGTAAGCTTGTATAACCAAGGCAGATTCAAAATCAACTGGTAAACTTGATTCTTCATTAGATGTGCTGAAATTATTTAATATTCCATGGAATAATACTGACAAATTATCTTTATTCTCAAAGTTCAAATCAGCAAATTTCTGAGATATTTCCAACGTTCTTGCCTTTAAGAAATCAAACTTAGAAGAAAGATTAGGAAAAACTAACGCCGTCAAAAATTGTTCCATCTGAGAGTAATATGGCGAATGTGGAATAACAACGTAGTGAGATATTCCTCCCATTAATCTCAATGCACCTTCTCTCTTCTTAGCAACCTCAAGTGTTTCTGGTTGCTGTTGCAAATCAGTTAATTGATTATATACAAATTTTATAATTGGTTCCAATGTTGTCTTTTTCCGTTTATCAACAAAAGTAACTAACAATCCAAGTGCCGCGACATCAGGGGTATCAAACTCGTCATATATGTCAAAATTAGAGTGTATGTACTCATGGGGATCGGTTTCAAAAATTTCTAATACATGGTCAGATGGGCATAATAATGGATAAATTAAATGAGATACCAAATTTTCAAAGTAAGGCTTGATTAATACCCATGTTGACTTTTGCGTAACACAGTGACTTAAAAACTGTAATAAATAATAAATGCATGATAGACTTAGCCATCTTTTTTTTGAACACCACTGTTCTATGATTGATAAGAAGTTAGTTATTAAATGAGGTATGAAATCATCACAAAACATTCTTTGAAAGTCTGTGTATGCAAATTTTTTAGATAAACTTTGCGACGCATATCTTGTAAAGATACGGTATAAGTTAGCAACTGCCCATTTATAACATTTTGAAATTTGCAAAAATGATTTTTCCTGTTCACTTAAAGTAGAATTCAACACATAAGCTGGTGCATTCATATTGACAATTGATCCATGAAATTCACCCCAAGCAATCAATGATTCTCTAGTTTGCAAGACAACTGGTAAATCGAAGTATGTCACAAATTTATAAACTTTGAGAATTAGCTTTAAGATTTCTGCTGTCAACTCAGTCATATTTTCAGAATTGACAATTATTGAGTTACCGATATTTAATAAATGTGGAAAAACTTGAACAATGATTGGGTCCAATTCACGCTCTCTATCACTATTGGAGACCCATCTGAATTTCCTAGATATCTCACTAAAACATAATAATCCAGTATACAACTGTGAAAAATCTTCGTCTTTGGTGGCCCCAACGGGTACTTGCTGTAAAAGAGCCCCTGTTGTCTCTAAAAGGTCTTTCCAATTATTAGGAAAGTCATACGAAATCAAAACCCTCAATACTGGGATCAACTGTTGCTTAGTGTTATAATCACTTTCAATTAATACTGGTAAAATACGATCCCTTATACCGGGCTTCTCATCATTGTCAATCTTATTCTGTTTTTCACTTCCCCAGTATTTAACGACTCGATTCTTGAAAAATACAGCCGCAGCCTTCTTAATAGGAAGACTTACTGCTGAATTATTCGATGATATAATATCAAGACAACCACCCAAAAAGCCTGGTGTTACGACTAACTGGCGAAGTTGCAATTCAGCTTGATGTCTCACTGATTGATCGGATTGCAACGTAGCTGAGAAGCATTCTAACAATAAATTTGCATCCATAATTAATATATCGACAGTGTTCTGACCGTATATATTTCGCAGTCTTCGTAGGTTTCGTCGTTAATAATTAGAAAGATCTCTTTGACTACATTCGTCAAATAAATCCTTCTAGCTGAAAAAAAATTATTACACAAAATTATGTTGATTTTTTCAAAAAATATGCGCGAGCCGGGAATCGAACCCGGGGCCCAGCAATGGGAACGCTGGATTTTACCACTAAACTACCCGCGCATCAATCTTTAAATATGGGGAACAAAAATTATATAGCGAAAACTTAAGCTTTTGTCATATTTCTAATTTTCTCTTATTTATTGCCTACGTGATACTTACAAATCAAAATATTAAATTTTTTACAGAGTAATTATCTATATTATGCATACGTATGTATTAGAACCAGTTATTCTGATATAATGTACAAAACTCGATTATGAAAATACTTCGATGGATCTAGTCTTCTTCCTCTGCTTCTTCTTCATCTTTATCTTCGTCTTCGTCTTCAGCTTCTGCATCAACAGCAAATGAGGCTGCATCAGCTTCTTCAAAATCATCACTCTCACCATTTGCAATAGTGATGTTTTCTGAGTCATCATTATTAACCATAATATCGGTCACTTCTTTATCTTCTTCGTCATCAGATTCGATATTCATGTTATTAAGATTATCTCTCAATTGTGTTTGAGATTTCAATAATTGTAATCTACCTTGCAATCCTAATAATCGAGGCATTAATTTCATGCCTTCAGTTAATCCTGTTTGCAATGTTTTAAGGTTGTCGTGCTGATCTGGCTGTTTGGCTATAAATCCACCGTGCACTAGCAAAAGCCATTTCAACCAAACAGATAACGCAGAATTCTTAGAGGGTTGCGATGCGACTTCTTTGCTGATAATTTCAAACAATTTAGTAATCAAAGCTGATGAAGATTCAGACGTAGAAAAAAGTTTAATCGTTTCTTTGATGTTATCATCGTCGTTGTTAGATGAACATAAACTAATTACCTTTTCTTCTGTGGTTTTCTTTGAAACGTTCAATAATTTAATCAAGTCTTTATACAATTTATTAACCGCGAGGTTGTTTATTTTAGTAGTTTCAGGAAATTCAATATCATCTATTCTATTATCAACCACTCCGTTGACTTTCTCGTTATAATCAATGGAAACTTGTATTTCACCAGCTGAGTTGAAATTCCAATTAATATTCTCAAATTTAGGCTCGTTACCATTATACCAAACTCCAACTAAATTCTCTTTTTCTCTTAAGAAAACATCCATGAAAATTATATTATCTATCGAGTCATGAAAATTTGTCTTAATTAAGCAGGTTGGTATTTGTCCTTCATGATTCGAATCGAAGTCAATTTTGAATACTTCAACACCTTCTGCTGTGACTGCCATTAAAATTTCTTCAGTCATATCAGTATTCGCAATTAACTGTACACCATATATTTGGCTTGTAGAAGTTTTAAAAGTCGTAAATTTGGCAGAATCTGAAGCATTGTATAAATAAATCTGATTCTCATTTTCTCTTACAACAACTACCAAGTTTTCTTTGAGACGTGATTGTTCAATAATAGTAATAGGGGAAGCCTCAGAAATTTGTGGGAAAGTAGTTAACAATGACTTTTTAGGTTTTGATGGGTCTACTAAGTACAAATTATTGGATCCTATTAATATATGTTGAGATCTAGAAGACCCACCTGTCTGCCTAATAGTTTTTGCTAATTGTATCTGCTCATCTTCCTTAAATTTAAAATTCTTCACCTCTTTACTTTGTACCAAAGAAATCTCAACTATTGACCTACTTTCTTCTAAAACCCCCCAAACTGAGTCATGGATTAATGAGGGAGTCAAACTGATGATCTTATACCCGTAGGATATTCTATCGATAATATCATTGTGGAGCGGTGATAAGATCAATATATCACCATTTTCTAAGGCAACTGCTAAATTCTTGTTATCTGATGTCTCTTCATTTAAATCAGATTCTGAGGATGATTGCCTTCTTTTACCTCTTTTCTTTGCTCTTTCAGAATTATTTATTCCAGAATTATTTATCCAACAACATGACGTAACGATTTCATCTGCCTGTAATTCGATTTTGACAATTAATGAATCCAATATGATTGATTCCGATGCCTTTTTATTTATAGGAAATATCTGTACCTCATTCCTACCATTCTTCGAGATTATATTGGTGAAATATAAATTGCTATCATCTAAACATCTTCTGAGATCACTCATCTTGCGAGTAGCTATGGTTGGAATGTATGTAATGTTAATCTTCAATGCTAAATCTATCTCTTCTCTGCTCTTCTCATAAAAATTTTGGTGCGCAGATTTTCTTTTTTTAATTTACACGACTATGTATTCTAAACCTACTAGATACCTATATACAAAAAAGCTATTATTTACTTTGATTCTTGAATCTCAATCATTTGTTGGACTTGCGATTTGCATAGATCTTTCAAATCTTGAACGTCAGCTCTTAATTCTTCAACTTGCTCGGATTTTTCCCCGATTAATTCTAACATTGTTTCTTCTTGCTTCGACTTCTGATCTATTTCAGTTTGCAATGTAGTTATTTGTTCCTTGAGACTATTGACTTCTTCGATTAATTTAAATTGCTTTAATATTTCCTGTTGAGCTTTTTCTTTATCCAAAGACAACTGAGTATTTTCATCCTTCATAGTACTTAATTCAATTTCCAATCTCCTTATATTTGAACTCATTTTGTTTATCAACTGAATATTATTATTGCCAGATGTTGGAATGACACCCGATATGCTACCATTACCCATATGACTTGGGTATTTGGAATTGAAGGAGTAGTTATCATTGGCTAGCTCAGTTGCCGTATCAACATTATCCATTAACGAAGCCAGAGAATTATTATGCGAATGGTTCATAAATACCGCGGAGTATTCTCTCGAAACAGCTGGTGTGGTTGAGGATTCACCAAATTTTATATCCGGCCATCCAGAATTATTGTACGATGCGTCATTAATACTAGTTGATGAATGGTGTTTCATAAATTTAGGAGGCTCAAGATTAAGATGCAAACCGTTTAAATTTTGCCTGTTTGGGGAAGTTTGTTCAAATGGTCCCAAACTAGTGCTACTCTTTGATTTTTCTAATGACTCTGTCAATTGTTTAATTTTAGAATTAAGGTTTTGGCGTTCAGTATTGTAAATTTGCTGAAATTTATCAAATTTCTCTTGTAATTCTTGACAATCATTATCTTTAACTTGGTTTTGGAAAACAATTTCTTCTTTTTCATTTGTCAATTCGTCAAATTTCTCTATCAATTGATCACATTCTTCCATCTTTCTTTGTAAACTATTTTGAAGCTTTTGAATTTCATTTATTGACTTTATTTTGGACTTTTTCAAAGAATCCACAGATGAAGTCAATACATCTACCTTATTCAATAGATTTGATTCGATTAATTTCCAATTTTCTTGCGAAGATAAATATTGTTGTTGCAAATTATGATGGTTATTTGACAATTTAACAAATTCTTCATAGTCTATTTGTTTAGAATTAGGGGTGTCATCGGTCTCACTTTTTTCACCACCATTGTTGTAATCTTTATTGCCGCTCAAACTACCAACAGAACGCTCATTTTCGACTCTCAAAGACTCAATTTTGTTTTCTAGGCGATAAATCTCCTTTGAATTCTCATCCCTTATACTGCTTATCTTTCTTTTCAAGTCATTAATAGTGGTATTTTTAGATTCTAATTCAAGTGAATTTTGCTTCTTTGACATGTCAAATTGAATTTTGAGTTCATTCAATTTTTTTATAGATTGTTTTCTTTCAGTGGACTCGTTTTCGTAAAGCCTTTGTTGTTCCTTACATTTACCCTCCCAATCTAGTTGTTTTTCTTTCTCTATATCATCATTAGACTGAGATAGTTTTTTAGAAATGTCATTGTAATCGTCAATCAATTGATTAATGGACTTGAATTTATGCTTTTTTAGGAAGTCTTCTTGCTCATTCCATTTAAGTAATACTTGCTCGTTCTTTTTGGAATAATCATTCAATGAGTGTTCTAAATCATTATTTGATGCTTTTAACTTTTTAATGCTTTCGTTTAGCTTTAATTCCTTTACGGATAATGCTTGGCCTTCTTTCATTAATTGTTCAATTGTTTCATCTTTAGATGCCAACTGTTCTTTCAATTGGAATGTCTCTTTATTAATATTTCCAGGTTTAGACGATTGTGACTTCAATCGTTTATTTTCTTCAAATAACTCAGCATTATTTGCTTTCAAATTCGTTAATTCGGCCTTTAGTTGATTAACTTCGTCCCGGTATTTGTCGTCTGATGCGAGTTTACTTTCCCGTCCAGGGCTTTCTGCCCTTTCTTCGTCTTTTATAGTATTTTTATTCTCAGCTAATGGATCGTTTTGCTCTTTTATGATTACATTCTTTGGTTCATCGGGACCAGTAGCTGGTGGAGTTCCACCAGCCGATGACGTCGGTGTAGGAGTAGATGACCTCTGTTTTTTTCCCTTTGCTGCTAATGCCAATCTCTCCAGTAATGTTAATCTTTTTTTCGTTTTAGGAGTAATGGTATCAGTGGTTGCAATTGAAGCTTGTTGGCCTTCTTCAGAATCAACAATAGTATCTGTTGGATTTGATTCTGATACAACTGCCGATATATCTTGTTCCTGATCTGTTCCTACTTCATTATTCCGTTCAGTAGTGGGTTCTAAGTTAGGAATGTCTTCAGAAACTATTGGATCTTCGATCACTGTCTCGTCCGCTATGCTTTCCTCTCTACTTGTTTCTTGTGATTCACCTTCCTCTACAACTTCCGTATGCAGTTTTTTCGTATCAGTATCCTTCTTCGCTACCTCATTCTTTTTGGTAGCTTTCTTATTGTTCTTTTTCGCCATGCTTTCCCAAGCTATATGAAGATGTGCATCGGACAATGCATAAGTTTTGAGTTGACCATTTTTTGCTCCTTAAGATTAATCACCAAATAATATGCAGTATATGTTTTCATGAACCATTTTTTGCAATAACAGTTTTTAACAGATATATCGTTGAAACAAATGACAAACCTGATTATATTGACAAATATATGCATAATAGTGTTTAGTTGTCTCATATATTGTTAAAATATTAATTCAAATAATGATTAAATTTTTTTAAACTTTAATTTGAATAAATGTATTTAATTACAAAAATTAACAATTAATATAAAATCTGTGAGATAATTGATACTGGCAAATCCCATACAGTCAGACTAAACAATACTTTGAATTATATATTTAACATTATATACTATTTACTTATTATTATTTCTGAGCTTCAATTACCAAGTTTTTCAAATACAAAGCCTATATAGAATCCTACAGCTTCTTTTTCAAGTCCTTCAGCTCCATATTTTCCATCCGATCTCTTCATCCCCTCGATTAAGTTTTTATTCAATTTGGAGAAATATTTCGGTATTTCTTGGTTAAAAATGTCAATAAAATTTTTCTTGTATTTTAAGACCAAGCCATACTCTTCACATAAGCCACGGAATACTTCAAAAGGAACAACATACTCTGGAACATCGTCGATTGCATCCTTTAAGCTATAATTGTATCCATTACCAAAAGGTGGTCTGAAGACACCTTCATCTGGGGGATCTTTATGGAAGGTTACCGAGTATAAGTCATTACCAAACTTTCTATTTTCTTGATCAATGAAAGCACGATTCACTATTTTATCTCTAATAAAGTCTGATGACGGGATAGTACCAATAAGTGTACCACCAGGCCTTAACGACTTTGTCACGTTTGTCAATAGTTGATGCACTTTCTCTTCTGTTTCAAACGCATAATGCATTGCAAATTGTAAAGAAACACAATCTACAGGAAACAAGCCGTCTATTATACCAGGAAAATTTGGTTCCAAAATCTCAGGTATACTACTGTTGAAACAGTCACCAGTAGCAAAACATGCTTCGAAATTATACCTTCTCGTATCTCTTTCTTTCTTACTTTCGGCGGTTTGTGGAATAAAACGAGCCTTATTTCTTGAATATCTCGAAAATGCTTCCTTAATCGATGCATCTGATATGTCAATTCCAATATACTGATCGACCGAAACGAATTCACATTTATTTAAATCTCCTCCTTTACCGCAGCATAAATCAAGTATGACAGTTGGGCGGTTGGGCTCTGGGTTGGGTTTAACCCAATTACCCAATAAGATATACTTAATAGCATTATTGAAGTTTCTTAATTTGTAAATGGGTGATTTTGTTCTAGACCCTTGGAATTTTGATTGTTGAGTTCTTTGATTATAATGTGACCTAACGATACTGTTTATATCTTTGCCTTCTTTATTGTTTATATGACTTTGAAAGGTTTGATATAAATTCGAAGATGGATTCGCAACTGCGAGATTACTGTACGGAGCTACGACATCATCTTCAGCTTCATCATATGGTCGCTTCTTATCATATTGAATAGATGTCGTTTCAGTAGGTGGTCTTCTCACTCTATCGTTAGAATTGATAGAGTTAGTCATATATTTGGAATACCTTTCATCTGGGTTATTAACTGGAGCAGCCGGCGTTGCAATTGGTGTAGATCTTGAACCATATTTATCATACTTATCAGTTGTCTTACTCTTCATCCACGCTGGAGTCTTTTTATTTTCATCATTGTATACCGAGGATATAGCCTTATTATTGTCTTTATTCTCTCTTCTAGAAAAAGAATCCGATATATCTATACCATCATCTGCTCTAATCTTCTTGAGCGGTGGTTTGTTAATATCGGATTTGGATTCTTGATTTGAATGCTCTTCTGTATTTTTCACGTTTATTTCATCCTTATTAATAGGGGAATTAGAACCCAATGAGCTGGTAACACCTGCTTCTTTATCTGACATACGGCTGTAGTTATATCTGATGGTAATACTTATTATTGTACATTAAAATTTCTTGAAATAATTCATGACGACATTATTTTACATATCGCGACATTAGATATTCCGGTCTCTAAATACTATCTATGTTTATAAATTTGATTTAATATCGAATATTTCTCTAAAATCTTCAATGATTGGAGAAAGAAATTGCTTCTTATTTGGTATGAAATGCCCTCCTTCGTGTATATATTCTGTCAAATTCTCATTGTTGAAAGTTGTTGACAAATACTGCGACCGAATACCGGGAACGGTCATATCTTTAGAGCCATGTATGTTAAGGATTTTAGTATTTGAATCCATATTATTATAATATCTCTCATAACTGTTAATTATCTTTACCTTAGCCTTATATTCGTTTATATCGTCGATTTGGTAGTTTAAATTTAACTTGTCCTTGGATGGGTCAACTGGCTCAGTAAATGCAAACCCAGAGAAAAAGACCGCAATTTGAAAGCTTTTATGATTAGGAAGTAACTCGCTTATTACATTGGTTATAATTGCACTCATAGCCGCACCCTGTGAAAATCCTATTATGCCATCATAAGGACCATTTGTCTTAATATATTCTACTAAAAATTTCAATGATTCATCAAAACCTTCATACACATTTGGATCGTGATGTTGCCACCAGCATCTATTACAATCCTGGTCAATTATAGATTTCCATTTTTGGTCCGCATCTTGCAGCTCTTCAGCTATTGTAAATGGTAAGTCCTCTTTGTTCTTAATTATGATGGGCGGATTTACGTAATCCAACTGGAGGTTAAGCTTCTTCGTAAGAAGTTTACGAAGTCCTGATGACTTTTCAGCGAATACCTTTCCACTCTGCAAGTACCCGGGCAAACATAATATTTTCTTAGTTACTGTCATATTACTATTTGTTAGCTCTCTTGTCAGTTTAATTTTTGATGGTCTTAAAAAATGTTGCAGAATAAATATTATCACGTGTAAATGTACTAATTGTCTATATCCTATTTTACATTATAAAAGTATTTACACTCTGCAAAGTATTCCGGCTAGGATTAATTTTCCTAACGTTTAGCAAGAGGCCCAATTGTTGTTTAACCAAATCTTTATCAATTTTAGGACAGCCTTGAAGTGGAGCCCAGTCTAAGTCGAAATGCTTGCACAATAAAACTAAGACTAAACCAGCGCTGATATCCTTTCCAGTGTCACAAAGAATCATAATAGTATTATTTTTTGAAGCATCTTGAAGATTTATTTGAGGCACAAGAGTAGGAAGAGTTTCCCGTAGTTTCTTTGATCCTTTCTTAGAAGATTCAACTTTATATTGCAATATAGTGACTTTTGGATTATCCGGAATATTTGAGATACTGAATAACTCACTCAATATGACTAGCTGACTAACATTCTTATACGTACTAATGAAAGTGTTATAGTTCATATTCCTGTCTATGATACCAAATATTATTCCAGTATCATTGGAATCGGTTTTCACATGACTTAAATCTAAATCAAGATCCTCGTTGGATAACAAAGCTCTTCGTTTCACATATTCTTCGTAAATCCTATTCACTCTCAAGATGAGTTCATTTTCCGAAATCCAATCATAAATATATCCCGTATCATTGTCAATTATATCATCATTTTGTTTACCACCCTCAGCAAAAATATGTTCCCAGAAAAAGCGGGAATTAAGATTGCCATTACAGATCTCTTTTGTAGCCCAAAGCTCGTGGTCATCCGCAGAACCTTGAATATAATACCATGAAGTAAGTTTTATCTCACCATTAGTCAAATTGTTTCTTACAGTGAGTGTTGAACCACCGTATTCATTCGTCTTTTTAGAGGCTGTTACGCATTGAACCAAGAAATAAGTTCTTTCAGTTTTTGACTCTTGCCCATGATCAAAGAAAAAAGAATCATTGCCACCAAAATCTTCTTCATTACTCTTACACCCTGGATAATGCCATTGAGGTATTAGGGGCCTTTTTTTTCCATCAAGATGCTGCATAAGCTTTTCTTTAGTAACTAAACCTAACTTCTTTACTTCATTTGCAAAAGAGTCTATGAGCTTCGAAATTTCATTTCGTTCACTAGCAAATACCATATATTTTGGTGTTGAGACCCAATTGTGTTCATTCTTCAAGGACAAAAGAAATTTGGCATCTGTAGAATCTTTTTCTAGTCCAAGTTCTTCTAATATGTCTTTATCACTGTCGTCTTCATATAATATAGTATTCAAAACAGCACACCAAATTGGAATCGTCTTCAGCAACGCATCAGGCATAAGCTTTCCTTTTCTTGTTGAATCAATTATTGCAATACCTCCGTAAGCACTTATTATTGGTAATAGATGAAAATTTAATCTTCTTAAAGAAAATGACCATTGACCTGTATGGCCATCAGTCGATTTGAAATAAGAGGTATCCGCTTGTTCATTTGGCGGTAGATACCATAATCCACATCTTTCGTTCGGGACTAATGGTAATTTAAACTTATCTTTCGTTGTTTCGACAAACAGCGCATCGTATATAATAGATTGAAGCCTATTTTTAATGGATAACGAATCTTTTCTAAGCTCTTTAGTTACACTATTTATATCCAAGTGACTTAGTGTCAATTTATCCATTATTAGTACTTTGTGCTTTGTGCTTGATATTTTTTTAATATTATTAAAATCCGTTATATTACAAACTATGCAAACTATACAGGCAACAATTATTAACGTTGTTTCATTTTTCTAGCCTTCTTCAAAGCTGCTAACCTTTGTTCTTCTTCAAGTTCTTTACGATCTTCCAATTCAGCATTGCGCTTGGATCTCATTTCTTCTTCCCATATTTCTGCACCAGTTGCTTCCATATCATCACCAGAGTCGTCATTATCATATCTATCATAATACGATCTTTTCTTACCTCTATTAAAAATTGCCCAGATTTCATCCCTATCATAGTCGGGTGCATTTGAATTCCCATAGTCAGCTTCTTCTTCATCAGACACAATAAACGATTCAGAATATTCATCTTCGGAATCGTTGTAGGAGTGAGATCTATTGCTTCGACTATAACTAGGTTTTGTCTTACCAGAAGACTTTAATCTCTCCTCTAGTTTCGTTGATGGCTTTCTAACAGGTAATGGAGCCCTTGATGAAGGTTTATTATCATCTGAATTAGGATGCTTGGAAGTTGCAGGGCGCCCCTCTTTTCTTTTGGGTACATTTCTGTACCCTTCGGTAGGCGCAGAACTAGCTCTTGACAGCGGCTTATGTTTAGCAGTTGTTGGACGAGCATCAGGAGACTTTGCTTTTGGTTTAATAGATACTGATAGTTTGCTTTGGTCAATTTTTGATGCTTTTTTCATTAAATCATTAAAATTCATCTTTTTAACAGGTTTATGCGATGGTGGTACGTTTGAACGCATGCTAGTACTCGAAGGAATATTGGAGTTGTTCATTCTACCCACTCCATTGTTCTTTTTGACCTCATTGCTTCGAGAGCTATTGGTATTGGTGTTTCTCGGGACACTTTTTGGCTTCTTTGGTGCTAATCCTTTCTTTTCTCTTGCTTCTTGCTCTTTTTTTTCTCTCTCTAACTTACGAGCTGCCTTTAATCTAGCAACCACAGGATCAACAGTTTTAGTTTCACCATTGCTGTATCTATACTGATTTTTATTATTCAGTTGTTCGGCACTCCTGTTGGTTTCAGGTGTCCCATCTCTACCAGATTGGTTTGTTTTAGGTATAATTTGGCCTTTTCTTTTAACATGCTGCAATATATTCGATAGAGACATATGTATCAAGTAATGAAATCAGAACAAGTTACGGTGACTGACTGATATGAACTATTCACAATTAGAGCCTGGTAATAAGGTGGGCTCAAGTACATTGTCAATAGCAAAATCGGTAAACACACACAACTAATATACATAAATTGCAATTACACCTAAATTAATGTTCCCTTAATAATAAATATCTGTAAGCTTTTTATAAACTTGTATAAATAACTATATAAATAATTGCATCTAAGACTCATAAGAAAATCTAATCTTTTGGTCCAATCATTTTTTCTGGTCTGACCCATTCGTCGAATTCTTGTTCATTTAAAACACCCAATTCCAAAGCAGATTCTTTCAAAGTTAAGCCCTTCTTGTGAGCATTCTTAGCAGTCTTTGAAGCAGCATCATAACCGATCTTTGGGTTTAAAGCAGTAACCAACATTAAAGATTCGTGTAAAGTTTTCTCGATTTTGTCTACATTGGCAGTAATACCTTCAACACAATGTTCTCTGAAAGAAGCAGAACCGTCAGCAATTAATCTAATTGAAGACAACAAGTTAGCAATCATGACAGGCTTGAAGACGTTCAATTCGAATTGACCAGATGCACCAGCAAAAGTGATTGCAGAGTGGTTACCGAATACTTGGGTAGCGACCATTGTTAAGGCTTCGTTTTGGGTTGGGTTAACCTTACCAGGCATAATTGACGAACCTGGTTCGTTTTCTGGCAAGGATAATTCACCGTAACCACATCTTGGACCGGAGCCTAAGTATCTGATATCATTGGCAATTTTGAATAAAGAAACAGCAACGGTGTTTAAGGCACCTGAAGCTTCAACAACGGCATCATGAGCAGCTAAGGCTTCGAACTTGTTAGGAGCAGTCTTGAAAGGAATAGAAGTCAAATTAGAGACTTCTTCGGCAATCTTCGAGTCGAAACCCTTGACGGTGTTTAAACCAGTACCAACAGCAGTACCACCTTGAGCTAAGAATTGCAAGTTTGGTAAAGCTTTTTCAATTCTTTCAATACCGTTAGTTAATTGTTGAACGTAGCCAGAGAATTCTTGACCCAAAGTTAAAGGAGTAGCATCTTGCAAATGAGTTCTACCGATCTTAATGATATCCTTGAATTCATCAGACTTAGCTTGTAAAGCATCACGTAACTTGGTTAATTCAGGAATCAATGAGTTAGAAATTTCAGTAGCAGCAGCAATGTGCATGACTGTTGGGAACGTATCATTAGACGATTGAGACATGTTACAGTGATCGTTTGGATGAACTGGCTTCTTGGAACCTAATTCACCACCTAAAATTTCAATGGCTCTGTTGGAAATAACTTCGTTAGCATTCATGTTAGATTGAGTTCCTGAACCAGTTTGGAACACAACCAATGGGAAGTGGTCATCCAACTTACCTTCCGCAACTTCAGTAGCAGCTTGTTGGATAGCCTTAGATAATTTAGGATCTAAAGCTCCTAAACCTTCATTCACAATAGCAGCAGATTTTTTTAAAATACCAAATGCTCTCACAATTGGAATTGGCATTCTTGCGGCTTCACCGCCGATCTTGAAATTATGCTTGGATCTGGCAGTTTGGGCACCATAATACTTAGCTGAATCAACTTCGATTTCACCGAAAGCATCTGTTTCGGTTCTGGTCGAACTTAATAATGCAGAAGTTGACGATAATGATCTTAATTGAATAGATCTAGCCACTGGGGTATATTTACTGGTTAATCTTAACATTTTAACGAATTAGTTTCTTCAATAGAAAATACTACGATAAAGAACCGTTTAATATGATAAATATAAGACTCTGGGGTTAATAAATATTCGCTTCAATCTAGCGGGTGCTCGGTGGAGGTCGGAATCGACAAATACAATTTGATTGGCTGATTCGCGTTATAAAATAGGATGCAAAATATTCACCGACGTGAATACGGTTTATTTATAAGCTATAATACACTTAGTTCTATAATTTAATCTATACGTATAGTTGAATTAGGTAGTTTCAGTTTTTTGAGTTTGAATCTTTCTAATTCTTCAAGTGAAGGCCACGACCAATCTAGATAATTTTGGGCCTTCGATTTTGGATCTTCGCCTATGTGAGCGTATGTAGATTTCGCACTGTCTTCTCTAACCTTTTCCACATGCTTGATATATCTCGAACCATACTCAGTAGGCAAGGAACCGAGGAGCATCAATAAGGTGAGATAATTTGGCCTGAAATTCAAACTTTCCCACCACTGAATAACGATTGACAATTCGGAAATGTAATCATATTTCGCGAGTAAATGGATATATCTTTGCCATAAGTCATCTTGCGGATAGATTCCGGGGTCGTTGTCCGCTTTTCCGAGATCTTTGTCAAATGCTTCAGTCATAACATGCTGCTTGAATTCATGGATCGCAACTTGAGGCGCATACATATCACCCCACATTATACAAGATGCCTTATCATTTCCGTCAACCTGTTTCATAGCTGCCTTAATTAAAGCAGCCAAACATGATTCGTCAGGATTGAAATTATTTTTTTCGAATAACTCCAGTTTGTATAATTCATATATGTTCTCGGGTTGAACGTTTGTTTCACCATTGAGCATGATTCCAACGATTTTCGATGTCTTCTTTTTGAAACCCGTATCGTACAAATACCTTGCATACGAGAGAATCGACGAAAAATTCTTGAAATTTTGTGGTGATTCTTGATCTTTGATGGTAGTTATAGGGTGTAGCTTTTTGTACTTGTCCCAAGGATATTCGACATCGGGATGCGGTCTATTCCTTAAATGCACATTTCTGTATAGAATGGTTAAGTATTTAGGTAAAATTGAGCTTGAGTGTGCCATTGCCAATAAGGAATCTTTCTCTTTGGAACCAGATTTTTTCTGTAAAATTGAAATGAATTCGTCAATGTCATATAATGTTTTGATTGGTTGTAAGAGGATTAATATGATATCTTTTGTGATCAAGATTCTTTCTTTGTTATTCACAAGTTCGAGAAGAATCTTTTTAGATCGCTTTTCATCAAGTAGACCAAACTCATTAAGCTTTCTAATAAATCCTAACCAAATTGTGGCAGATTGAAAGTAATCTGATGCCCCGTTGTTGAAATTATGGAGTAGTTCTTCTGGTGTAACTGAAAGAAATATTCTAGTGAAATGATAAGCTACCATAGATTTTGAATTCGAATGATGTAAATCTGAATGCAATAATTTCTTTTCAGCCATTTTGAATAACTTTTCCGATTTTTCCTGTGATATATTATTTATAGCTAAAACTATTCCCATGTTACCCTCAATATTCAATTTTGAATGTACCTTCTCTCTTTTATCTCCAACTTTGGAAAGAAACTGAACCACAACTTCCTGAGTTTTGATAATATTTGTCATAATATTGGGTTTGTAGGTTATTGAACTCCTCAAATAATCAAAAATAAGTTTCCAAATTACCCCATTAAGAAATTCTTGAGTTACAAGCAGAAATTGGTACCCTGTAGTAGTATTAGTGAAAAAATGGAGGGATCTGAAAATTAGTTCCGGCAATTTGTGTGAATCGTATTGAATTCCATAAAAAATTAAATTGTTTATGCAGAGTTTTAAATGTTTTATCCTTTTATGGTATGCAGCTCCTATATCTTTCATAAAATCAAGCCATATATCAGCCTGTAGATAATATTCATTTTTAGACATAGGTGTACGAATTAATATATCTGAAGTTATGCATGGGGGAATCTTAGAGAGATTTCTCAAAGACTCGCAACTGACACTGACACTAGGTGACATTATTGAATGAATCCATGGTATTAAGTCTCTTTCAATGGAATATTGTTGTTTATATGATCTTTTGGATAAAGCTAGAAAACAAAGAAGGGCCATCTGTAACGGCTTTATAAAGACACTATTTGTAGTGCCTGGAATATCGGTACCTGCAAACTTTGAGATAACTTTAGATGCCATTATGTCTAGCAGAACTCCTGATTGGTCTTCAATTTGTGATCTAGTTTGCTCATAATTGAGCTTCGTAGTCTTCGAAGTGATAATTTTATTCAATATGATGGTGAGATGTTCGACTTGATTTGCATATTGGGATTGAAGGTATGTTGAATCAAGGCCCCTATCGTCAAGAATGTATAACAATGAGAGAGTGGTATGATAAATAATAGGTTCTAGCAAGTTTTGCATTTTGAATGGATTGGGTAGCACTTGACCTGACAGTTGCATTTCATGTATCTTTCCTTCTCTTTCTTTTTGAAGCTTGACTAGTAAATACTTTATAGATGGCTCTATAACAACATACTTCTTCTTATACAATAGCCTTTCTCTATCTAATGAGCGGTAGAACGACCGATGTGGTTTGTCCATCGTTCTATCAAATATTTGGAGGTGGAGTCTATCATGTAATCTAGAATTAAAAGTCCCAAAACAAGCTTTATTTATTAGGATTTTACAATCAGGCACTAAATTTAGTCGCTTGAATCGATTTAATAATATTATCATCCTTCATGCATAACTCCACTGGATCGAACGGGTTAAGTGATGCTTTTGATCTAAAATATTTGAGCTCAGATTTGAAGATTATATCTCAGAAAATAGAAAAAAAAAAAGTATACAGTTTAACAAATGAAGCAAATATATGTCCGAGTATAGTTACAAGGAGCTATTAAAGGAGAGCTTGAAAGGTAGTGAAGTAGAGAATGATACAGATAAAAGAAAAAGGAGGAAGACTGGGGGACAATACAAGTCCAATGGGCTAGATAATATAAAAATAGAGAATCAAGAAGTGATTACGATATCAGATAGCGACCAGGAAAGTGAGGATAGTGTTAATTCAAGTGACTTTGAGGATGTTAGCTTAGATGACGAAGAAGAATCACATGGTTTAAACCTATTGCCTGATAATACAAATGACAAACAAGAATCTCTATCTATAACCATAAACCCTGTTCAAGAGGAGGTTAAGAAGAAAAGAAAATTTAATTCCATATCTAAGAGTGAAAGGGAACAACGGAGAATTATACATCAGATGTACGTGGGACTAATGTTATCACATGGTGTGATTAGAAATAGATGGTGTAACGATTACAATTTATTAATGGAACTAAGAAAGAATGTTTCGCCTCAAATTTTGGAATTATTGCATCAAAAAGATTCAGATGATGTATTGCCTCTTGTAAAGTCCAGGAGATTTCTAGACGGGCTAAAGAAATTGATGATGATGTATTCGTCGAACTATCGAGTTACGTCTCAAGGTTTAGTTCGCAAAAATTGGAATGAATTGTCAATTAAGCAGTCGAAGATCGAAGCTAATGTTACTTTTAGTAAGTTTTTTAATTTAGTAACAAAATTTAAAGGTTCTCGCGATATAGCTGCACAAGGATTTGTAAGTCTATTACGATCAGTCGATTTGAATGCAAGGCTAGTTTTTTCATTACAACCTCCCGATTACACTTCAATTGCAGAGCTCCCAAAAATTAATAATACGAATCAGACAACTTCAACGCATGAAGTCACGCAGAGCCCTTTACTTCAAAGATTTGCTTCTCGAAATAGTAAAAGGAATCTTCTAGCTTCGATGAGGAAAAAATCTACTACTGTAACAAACGAAGCAAAACATGCAAATTACTTTGAAGATTCATCATATCCTATATTTTGGGTGGAGGTGTGGGATAGATATGTTAAAAAATGGGTAAGTATTGATCCCATTGTGCTTCAGACTATCGAAGTTTCGCCGATGAGACGAAAATGCAAATTTGAACCGCCATCTACGGATATGAGAAACCAGTTAACTTATGTAATTGCATATGATAGACTAGGAGGTGTTAAAGATGTAACTCGGAGATACAGTCTATATTATAATGCTAAGACTGTTAAGAAGAAGATTCATTTCAGATCTGAGGAAGATGAAATATGGTATAATCGAATACTTAAAGCATCTTGTCTGCAAATGAGAAAAAATAAAATTAATAAGATTGATATTTTAGAATCCAAGGAATTTCACACAAGGGATTTAGCTGAGGGAGTACCGAATAATATTGCTGATTTCAAAAACCATCCAGTGTATGCATTGGAATCACAGTTGAAGCAAAATGAAATAATTTTTCCTAAAGACGAGAGCAGTACATGTGGATTTTTTAGGAATAAGCTGTCAAAGAAATCGCAAGAGAAGGAGCTGACTGTTATTCCTATTTATAAAAGATCACATGTTTACGGTTTAAGATCCGCAAAGGCTTGGTATCTTCGGGGGAGAGTGCTAAAAGTTGGGGTGCAACCATTAAAATTGAAGAGGAAGCAAACGACTCAGAAGCAGCCCTCTAGTGATGATGATGAGGACGAAGAAACGACAAGGCTTTATGCAGAGTTTCAAACTAAACTATACATACCTCCACCTATTGTGCATGGCGAGATTCCTAAGAATGCATATGGAAATATCGATATTTATAGTCCTAGTATGCTACCAGATAATGGATATTTGGTTGATACTACATTACAGTATTCAATGAAGATTGCAGAAAGAGCGGCAAAAATAATTGATATTGATTATGCAAAAGCCATTGTTGCATTTGATTTTGGCAAACTTGGCAAGAAAAAGTCTCAAAGCAGAAATCCCACTGCAAGAGAGGGAGGGATATTAATTGATATTCAGTTTAAAGAAGCCATATACTTAGTGATGGAAACTCTTTTGGAAGAGGAAGAAAGCTTGAAAAGAAGAATAGTCGAATTGAATTCATTGAACAATTGGAAGTACTTTTTGACGAAATTGAGAATATCCGAACGATTAAATAAAGTGCATGGTAAACTAAACAGTGAAGGCGAAGAATCGAATTTCACTGATGAACTGGACGAGAATGATTTTAGTATACATAGTGACAATTCCGGTAGCGATATAAAAGAATTTGGAGGCGGTGGTTTTTTCATTAGTGGTAACCCTGAGTCAAATTACGCTAGAGAGAAGTATGAACCAACACCTGAAGATTTTGAAGAGTCATATGCAGGGAAACTGGGAGGAAAAGAAGGAGTTATGGAAGCAAATTATATGAACGAAGATACGGATTTTATAGAAGGAGAAAGTGGAGGCGGATTCTTTGTAGAGAATTCCGATCATGAGGCTAATTCGCGACCAAAAATTGGTGAGCCACTGAACAACGCAGAACTCGATGATATGCCTGATTATTACTTCAAGCAGGATGAAAATGGAGAATTGATATATGATCCATCTAGTGATGGTAATCAGCGTAGGCTGGAATCTAGTAGTGCTGATGGTACTGATACCCCAGAGAATAGACATGACTTATCGTTCACAGATTTATCTAAGGAAACTTCACCTGATACAGCTTTAACCCAGGATGATACACACGAGGAAACCTCACAAAGGATTATTTCACCCGAAGCTGGTAATGATATAGAAGCAACAGGAAATATGATAGTTGATAAGAATGATTCATGCTCATCAAGCTGTCAGAAATCACTGAGTGAAGTAGAAAGTTCCCAAGTCTCCCTTGGGGAAGAAATTGCCAAAGAGGAGCAAGTATTTGGATTTGAATATAGTGATACCGATTAGTTAGTAATTATAAATGTATAGTATTAAATATAACATGGTGATGAATAACGGTATTCCACATTACTTGCGACATTTGATGTCAAAAGGCGATCAAAACCGAAAAATTGATATGTTTCTTTTTGCAGCGTAAGCAATAATGGAATAAAGAAACAAGAGTTGGAGTTATGTATAATTCCGTAGCAGAGAATGTCCTTGGGACTATTGGTACGATATTATGGTGCATTCAATTAGTGCCTCAGATAATCCGGAATTTTTATGTGAAAGATTGTGAAGGTGTACCAAGTGTGATGATGTTTCTATGGGCTCTTAGCGGCGTTCCATTTTCTATATATTTCTTTGGTACTGATGGATCGATACCACTCAGAATACAACCACAGCTATTCACTCTTTTCTGTGTGGTTACATGGATACAAACATTATATTATCCGCCGGTGCAACTTGGACTAAGGAAGGTAATCATTTACGCTAGTACGTTTATTATAATAGCGGCTGGAGCTGAAGTAGGATTCATATTGTGGTTGCGTCCAATTTACCGAGGAGGAAAGGAATGGCCTATGCTAATAATTGGTATAATTGCAACGATATTGATTGCACTAGGGCTTATTCCTCCATATTTTGAATTGGCCAAACGTCGAGGACGAGTGATCGGCATAAATTTCATATTTCTATGCATGGATTCTCTTGGAGCCTTATTTTCCTTATTAAGCATTGTGGTGGGCACAATGGACATATTGAGTATCGTGCTATATGCTGTTGTAATTGCATTGGAATTTGGCATATTCGCTAGTCATTTTATATGGTATATTAGATTTGGGAAGAAAGAGAAAGCAAAGGAGAATCATCAGGAATGGGACCAGGAACAGGTAGCGGAGTCTGAATATGATAGCTCACAAGAAGGCTCACAAGAAGACTCACAAGAAGACTCACAAGAACACTTACAAGCGCAGGAATACAAACAAGAATACGGACAAGAACATGAAAACTACGTACATGAGAATGAGGAAGACGAAAGGGTAGAGATTCAAAATCAGATATCAAGAAGTGACAAATTGGAATATGAATACGAAAAATATAATAATTACTATATATAGACTATATAGAATTTTCTTGATGTAATTATGAGTATTATTATTATGATACATTGTCCGCTAGTAGACGATTTGCTCGATCGCGAAAGATTAATATTATAAACTATTTTATCTAAACACCCATTGATTACATATGGAGTTTATTGATTAAATATTAGAATGGTATGTATAAGTATCAATGCATATTCTCAGAGATTTTACTAACGGTTAAATTTTAGTCTTCTTTTGCGCCTTTAAATCTTACGGAGGATCCATCAATTTCCAAGAAAGATTTAGAAGAAGAACATTCTCGAGAACTTCAGATAGAAGAAGCATTTAGAATATATCAAGAAGCACTCAAAGCACAAAAGGCAAAAAAGCATATTGATGCATATTTAGCGTATGAAGAGCTATTTAAATTGGACGTCATTTCAAATCATTATTATGAAGAAGAAGATTATATAAGAGGCTTACAGAATGGGAGTGCCAACACAGTCATAGACGAATTGAATTACTTGTCTCCAAGCGTACGGTCCTTGAGATACTTAGTGTTCAGAAACAGAGGGTACTTGTACTATGAAATATTAAAATCGAATGCAGAAATTTTGGCAGTTTTTAAACTAGAGGAGAAGACAGAGATAGAGGGATCCGACATTGAAGATAGAAAAAAGCAACACATTAGAGAATTATTTTACTCTATGATTGATGATATGATAATTTCATTGATTTATCAAGAAGCAGACGAAAAGTTGTTGAACACCTTATATGAGATATTTACGTATCTCAATAGTGCAAAATTGGCTAGATTTACATTAGAATACTTGATAAGCGGAAACGACGAAAGTGATGATTTGTTTGGATTAATACCCGTTGAGAACTTGTGTAAACAAAAGTATAAGCTATTATTGCAGAGACTTCATATTTCAAAACCATCATCATCTGACGGATATGATACAAAGGAATTAGAACGAATAAAAGAAAAGCTAGCCTTCTTAGAACCCATAAAGGCCGATTATAATACACTGATTGAAAATACAACTAATTTGAAGACCGTAAATATAAATATTGAATATGCTCAACGTGACCTTAATTGGACTTCTGTTATTAATGACATCAATAAGACAGTTAAACACTTACAAGATAAAGAAAAATCACAAGAATTATCGAGATTAAGAATTAAAGATTTGGATCCGTATTTACTAACTGAAAATCCAATAGAGAGAGTTAGATTTACCATTCCGGTCCCCGAGGATGATTCCGCACACGATGAAACAAACCTTGATGTGGAGAAGAACAACTTAAATGAAGTAGATAAAGAGAATAATGAAGCTCCAGACGGAGAAACTCTAATCGATGAGGTTTCTAACCATATCAACTCCGACGATGAAATATTTGTAGAGGCAAAAGAATTTTTGGGGAAAGAAATAAGCGATGGAAAAGAAACACAAGACTCAAAGGACACCTCGGAAAAAGATGTAGAGGGATCTACATGCGCACCTGATCATATACTTGTCAATAGAGAACTTATAGAAGGAGAAAAGCTTATGTCTGAAGAAAATGCAGTATCAAAATCTGCACCCATAATCCAAAGATCATCGAAAAGAGTAAGATACAGAAATGAGGAATCATCTATGGAAACGAAAGACGTAGAGATAACAAGAAGTTGTTTTGTTGAGACAGATCGTTTTTTTGAGAGTTTGAATCTGTATTTAGACCTTTTTAACAAAGAGGCTGCCACAAATCTAGCGCTTAGGAATATAGTTAATATTTATGTTCCTGAAAATAACAATAACGATGAAAATAGGACAGAAGGCTATGTTAATGACTTTTTGTTTATTCTTAACGATTGGAATACTAGAAAGTATACCCATTCTTTATTTGTGGATGATGATGCTCCAGCAGGCTCAGCAGCTAGTAAATCTACGGAAGATGAAAAAATCAAGTTAATGGAAGTGTTGAGTACGTTTGGAAATAAGGGAGATTCGTTAAACCTGGATTTATCTAAGGATATAAAAGATATTTCGTCGTACGAAACTACTGAAGAGATCCAAAAATTTCTACATGATATAAATGAAAACCCATGCCACTACGAAGAACTTAAGCTACTTATTTTACGCAAACTTTTAAGTATCCAATGCCCTAAAGGGGATTTTAAAGGACATGGAGCATATTGTTTAATAACTGATACAATTTGGAACCCTAAGCTTTATGATAGGATTAAGGAATGGACAATACAATGCGAATCAATTATTTTGAATCATTTAAAGATGGAGGGTTGCGATGCGCTAAGTACAAGTCGTATGATTGATGATTTCTCGTTTTCTGTGGCTATATATGAAATATTGGTGGATACTTATATTTCGATTAAGGACCAGATAAATAATATGACATCTTTAAATTACAAAAGGACTACTCATAAACCGAATAAAGCCACCTTAAACAATATTTCTTTAGAATTAGTCAAAATTGGAGACAAATTATACCGATGGACTCAGCATTTCGAGGACTTATTCGAGAAAATAGATTTATCTTGTGCCATGCTGAACCAAGATTTTTTTACACATTACTGCAGATATAAATGGTCTTTTATATATAAGGAGAAATCGCAAAATACAATATGGCAGGAGAAAGAGTTTATAATGTCTCAGCTACACGAATTACATGATAATATTCTGACAAGAAAAGAAGGTGAGGCACATATTTCTTTACCAAATTATGAAAATATTAATGAAATAAGTGTCGACACTATCAAAACACAGGTAACAACAACGTCAATATTATCAATATTAGCAAAGATATTATATGCTAAACCGGGAACAAATAATGATGAGGCAATACATCTTTTAGAAACTATATTAATTAGCGATTCATCTCCTAATGAATCAATTGAAGCATTGCCCCTAAATAAAGAGGTTAATACATTTGATAAGGATGCCCTTGTTGCCATTAAAGATTTTTTGGAAGAATCTCCAGTTGATATGAAGTTAAGCTCATGGAATATTTTATTCCTGTATTACGATGAAAACAACCAGTTTGCTAAGTTCCAACATGGATTCGAACAAAATGTATCCTTTATCTTAAACTATTTGAACAGTAAAACATATAATGCACTTACAGGTACAAAGTTTGAAACTTTGGCAAAAGTATTAGGTTCATATGGTAAACATGTTCGGATCTTTTTAAGCCACTTGAGAGAGAATAATTGGAAACTATCCAGAGATCTGCATAGAACACCACTATCTATTGAACGTACGTTCAGTGAATTGCTTATGCTTTTTGAACTATTCTACTTGTTTAGCATTCACGAAGAGGCTGCTTTAATATCAAGTTCTAAGTTGTCTGTTAAAGCTAGATCGAACAAAGCATATGAGCGGTTCAAAGATATATTCATAAGTACAGTCTCAGTAATTGTTATCTACTATAAAGAATTATTAATGAATACTGTTAAAATAGAAGAAGGTAAAGTACCCAGTAAGATTGAAAAAACTATTGGTAATCTCATATGTGATTTCCATGAACAATTAGGTTGGAGAAGGGTATGTGATTCTGCAGAAGGATTATTTTTGAACTTGGCTCAGGATATATTGGTAGCATTCGATAATAATATATTCGAGAAACAGTTAGCTCAACTTATTTCATGTCGGTATCATTATAGCGTCAGCATTGATACTTTTACACCGTCAGATCACGAAACTAAAAAGACTGCTGAATTTGATTTATCATCCACACAGAAAATGGCTGATTTTATTTTGCCCTTGTGCTTCAAGAAGAATCCGTTAAAAGCAACGCCCAAATCGGACATGAAATTATTAATTGACGAATTTTATGAAGTTGTAGGAGATCCTGATTTTGATTCATGTGAAATCCTCAGTAGGAATGACTCTTTATTTGAACATTTTCTTGAATCAACATCAATTACTTCTAGATTTCTTCGTGATACATTTTACGGGTTGGAAGAATTAGATTTCCGTAATCCACCTGATAACGCTAATATAATTCGAAACGGTTTATATTATATGCAAGGGCTATTGATGTTTGCTTCTTACAAGATTAGGAAAAAATCAACCCAAAGTAGGGCTGTTGAACTAGAAAATATTATTATGTTGTTGAAAAATGATTTAATTTACTGTACGAATAGAATGGAAAGTTGGTTTTTATTGGGTCAAGCGTATGGATTTTTGGTTGAAGATGATTTGATATGGACATCAGATAAGTTAACAGTACCAGAAAGAAAGATAGGTACAGCAAACCTTCAAAGAAAATCATTGATATGTTATTTGATGGCTATTAATGAATCGACGAAGGCAAAGACAAAGGAGAATCCCCCCTTGAAAACTACAATAGGGTCTCTTATGGCATTGTTCTCTAAAGAAATGTATAATGCAGCAATGAAGCCGATGGATATGCATGCATTTAAAGTTCAGAATAATCCTCGGTTTATAAAAAAACCCACTGGTGCTACTTTTGTCAGCGTATCTACAAGTTCTGTGAATTCTAACCTCTGCTTGAAAGTTATTCAACAATCATTACATATAGCTATCAAGTCGAAAAGAAATGATTGGACATATTATTATTACCTTTCTAAGGTTCAAAGAAAATTGAATAAATCACCGGAAATAGTTCTAGATACGTTGCAACAAGCTTCGAAGATAGCTAAAGAGCAATCAAATCCATCAGATCCTATTATTGAACCTCACTACAAAAAGTGTTCCTTAATTTATAAGTATGTAAAGGAGGGTTCGTTAAGTTTTCAGTTGGGATTGGAATTTCTCAAAAATGACCCGGTGATCAATTACGAAAAGGGCAATAAATCTATCGAGAAGCCAATAGACTTTTATGAAATTATTGTGGAATGCCTCAAGACTGTAATATCTTATGATAAAAAAAGATGGCATCATAAGCCTAGGTATAGACTAGCAAAAGTATTATTTGAAGAATTCGGTGAAATCACTGAGGCGAAAGAGGAAATTTCATCAATCGTGTCATTGAAATCAACAAATAAAACGTTGGTTCTGATATGGAAACCCGAAAATGAAAGACCAGGGAAACACTTCTACTATACATTCCAATATGCACATTTCTATGTGGTATTGCTCTCGAGTGAAAGGAATTTAATAGGCCTAATACAAATGCTTCCGAAGTTACGACGTTCGAATTCAATTATGGTATCGCTATATACCTTATGGGAAACATTATGTTCATCAATTTGTAAAATCATCAGAAATCTGCTTAAAGTTGATGAAGGTTTTACGGAAAGATTCATGCTGTCTCTAGCTTACCAGAAATTTATGGTGAATTCAAAGTCATTTTTAGAAAAAATGAAGGGTGATGGGGTACCTGGAGAGTTACAGACACATTTATGTTTCCTTCATGCTATTACTGATATGAAAAAATTAAATAATGGATTCGGCCCAACATCATTAATTGACGACACAATGGTCGCAATTTTTATTAGAATCTATTTGCATTTTGAGAAACAACTGAATAGTTTGAAACCAATGGGCACCCCTGAACCAACAGAATCTCCGAATGAAAAGACTAAAAAGCTTGCTAAAAGAGATTTTTTCCCCCTCATTTCTGATATGTTGAAGACTTTCAGAAGGGATATCGAGAATATTTTAAAAGATCAGCCCAGTATTTATAATGACTTTGTAACTTGCTCAGATAAAGAAGTAGAGAAGGAAGATGATGTCAATTCTAAAATCTTAGAAGAAAAACAAAATAGGGAAGGAATTAAAACACCTGAATTAAATATGGATAGTGCCAATATTGAGTTTGTGTCAGATAAACATATAACTCAAAACAAAATAGAAGCTGATACTATTCTTCAGGAAAACAATGATAAATCTCCAAAATATGATGACCCTAATGGTAATGAAAATTCTATTGCTGATTCTAGAGTGAGAACACTAGATGAAATGTTATTTAATAAGAACTTAGATAAAGAGGTTCAAGGAGAGTCCCCGACGGCAAAAAAACAAAAGTTGAGTAGTGATCACCATGACTCTGCATCAGAGTAACTAATAAGTTTAATTTTAATGATTATTAGAAATTGTAATATATATATTTATCTTTACGTACTAATATATTTCAACTTCGTTTACAATAAGCTTTCTTAAGGACAAATCATATACTATTCCATTCATCTTCTTAAAATTATATTTTAAACCGTCAAATTTTCTCCTTATATTGTCGTTCTTCAAGTCGAGCATCTGAAATCCATTTTGAAGCTTGGTAACAATTTGTAGATTAATGAGACTTAAACTATATTGTGTATTTTGCAATTCGTTTAGGGAATTTTCGGAAGTTATTGAAATCAGTATAATTGTATCAATTGTATACTCCACAATGGTTTCAATAAGACGTAATAAACCAAGTAGATAGTCATTATAATTTAATTTCTCTAAAGATAATAAGCATTGAATTTCTTCTGGTGTTATCACTAATCCCATTGTATCTTGATCGCTCTTTGAAATGAGAGGGTGTAATATTTTATCTAACTGTTTCTCCTTAAGATTCACTTGATAAATATATGAGATTGCCTTGAAATATCGATTAGCCATTAATACATAAATGATTTCTTCGTTAATTTTATGAGTGAACCTGTCCTTGAAGATAAGTTTGCAATTAATTCCATTTAATTCTTGTAAATAACGGTGGTACCTATCGCTTAGTAGATTTAAATTATCAATAACCTTGACTTCATTAACCATTCCAAGTTCTGTGATATGTCTGTTTTCGCTATTTATTATCTTTACTTGATCCAATTCTCTCAACGCAAAGACAAAGGGCGTAGTTGATACATCTTCCGACGACAAGTCATAAGGTAGATTAATTGGCTGAATAGTAGACAAATTGGCATATTCGGATTTTATAATCGCAAGTTCAGCATTGAATAGGTTTTCTAAATCATTAATTTTATTCTTAAAATTGATTCTACTTAATGGTTAGTTTGGTTAAATTTATAATGGCGCAATACACGAACATACTCCGTATTAATTTCTTCTTGGAATACACCAAATAAATCTTGTAATTTTGACATTGTTTAAATTTAAGTGAAAAAACAGTAAAAATAAATTCTTGAAGAAAAAAAAAGAATGCTCCACGGCAGGTTCGAACTGTCGACCTTCAGATGACACAGATTTGATAAACTATGAGACTGACGCTCTGCCAACTGAGCTAGTGAAGCGTCCTTGTTCACCTGGATTTTAATTTTATGAGTAAGAAAAATATATTAGGGTTAGGAATTGGTTTTTTTTTTTTGGTTTTACTGGAGGTTTAATGCAATAATATTTATTCAAATTGATAAAAATTCCTATTTTAAATGATCAGAAAGCTTCTCCAATTCTTTGGTAGTATTGTAGTTATCGATCTGTTTTCTTATGGAAGAGCTAAGGCTAGGATTAGTATGATTATCCAAGGACTCGAATCTAATTATCACCTCTTTATTACTGTCATGATATTGAGTAAATTTGACAATTTCTTTTACCTTGGTAGAAACAGATAGTGGTTCTTTTGAGCAAAAAAGTTTATTTAAGTAAGACTCGGGGACATTATTAATACCAGCACTTTGCACCAAATGTTTAATACTTATCATCTTCAAAAGCCTCGTAATATTACTAATCGATTTCGCATATATCAATTTACCAGGGTACTTCTCTGTGTCAATAATCGAAACCAAGTGTTGGAAATCATTTTCTAAATTGGAATCAAGATTAAAACGTTCAATAATATGAGGTATGTTAAGAGATTTCTGGTTTAATTTTTCACAAAAGTTAATAATCATAATCAATTTTTCTTTATAAGTGCCATGCAATATGATAGAGCTTAAACACAGAAACTTGATATTAGATACTTGCTTTATTTTATTGCTACTATCGAGCGTATTCAATTGTGAATAAGAAGGAACTGTTGATGGATGTAAACTTCCAGATCTAGATGCACTCACATGTATATCCTGCGAAATACTTGTCGACAAAGATCTAACTAAAAACGTTAACTCTGACTTATAGTACTGCTCTGGTTCGATCAAATTTCTTAACTCAGATAGTTGCAATAAATAGTTTAATATGAAGAGAAGTGAGATTTCCTGTCTTTCAAGTAATGATACTGATGAAAAGTCAATGTTATCAGGTTGTATTCTTTCCTGCAACTGTGCAGTATCAAAAAGGTTCTCTGGCTGATTATTTGAAATCTCGAATCTTTCATAAACAGTAGTACTTAAATTTGGAAAGCTTAATAGAACTCTAAAGTAAATATCAGCTTGAAGATTATATTCGTGTTGAATACTTGTTTCTTGCGATAATGACAAGCTAAGCAAATTAAATGCGATGTATTTATAATAGTCCTTTAAAAAAATGAAATCTATAGTTGAAGTTTGAATAACTTTAAGTGGTGTTTTGGGATGTATTATTGGCTTGAATTCGTCATCGCTGATCTCACTAGGTACCATGAATGGTAATATTAATTGTGACTTACCAATTATATATATTGTTTTTATAAATTCAGTTAAGGTAGGAAACGCATCATTGTTTAATTCTTGTTTCGCCACTTCTTCAAGGCCCCCAATGTACGTATAATACCCAGAAAGGAACTTGCCAATATATTTTATTGTTGGTGTGACCTCATTTATATATAACATATCTTCTGCTTCATCAATGGTAAGTATTTTAAAGGAGGTCGTTATAAAATTGAATAATTTATTCATAATGATAGTTGAGTACGTCCCGGAACATATGAATTTCCCTATGGATATATGTTCACTAAAGAATCGGTTGGTAAAATCTCTAAAACGGCTGGTAATGCTTTCCAATTTTGTAGCGATTGTTCCTAAAATGTGATTTGTATTATAAATTTCTTGCCTGTCCACATAGGAATCTTTTAATAGATTCTCGTAGTAAAATAACTTATACCTATACAAAACGGTTGTTAAAGATTCCAAACTAAGTAACCATAAAAACTGGTGGTTCCTTTGAGGAAGTTTCGTAAGATAACTAATGTTATCATAAAAATATTCTTCTACGTTATTAACTTTCGATATGAAATCATTGGGAGAATAATTCTTTTTAAGTCTTAGCGATTCATCACTCTGTCTTTTTAACTGATAGTCAAGTATAGATTTAATCAATTGATTCAAATTTGAACCAGGATCAAAGTCTGGTGTATTGTATAGTATTTCGGAAACCATATTTAACCCGTTATCTAATGAAAACGAAAAGTGTTTATCTACTACAACTTTCATTAATTAATCAAATAATGCGGTTATCTGCACGAAAAAAATATATTTTGTCTATCACCTATATAGTTGGAAACGGCATCATTCTATGACATCTAGATACGATCTCAAGATAATTCTTATCTGATTCAGGTGTAATATAACCGTGTCTAACTAAGAAATCTGTAACTACTAGACCACAATTTGGTTTAAATTCATTATTAAGCAATCTGTCCAAAACTTCACTAACATCCATCAAGGTAAAATCTTCAGCCTCGCCGTCTTCGGGATAAGGAAGAATATCCGTTTCATTATCAAACTCTAGATCATATATGTACTCCACTTCTGGTTGTATTGTGTCTCTAGGACCATTCGGTTCGAAGATATACAGAACAACACCAGCGGACTTAACATGACTGTTAACAAAGTCTTCCCCTAAACCAGCCTCTTCGTAACATTCCTTAATAACAGTCTCCCAAATACCATACGGATGACCTAGTCCACCTGCCACAGTATTGTCAAGCATACCCGGATATGTTGGTTTTGTAGCAGATCTTCTAGGAACCCACATTTTTAGATTCCCGTTTGAAGACTTATGGGGAGGTATATATCCATTTATATGAACGCCATAGGTTATAACCCCAATTAATACCGAGAATGCTCTTTCAATTTGCACATATGGAGTGTGAGTAGGATTATACACAGTGTACAATTCGTTTCTCCAGCCCTTATCAAGAGATTCCGAGAAATAGGGTCTCTTACGCCATTTTGTAGCAATCAGGCTGAACAAAGCATTTCTTTTCTCAATAGTATCCAAAGAAGGGGATATGGTTAATGTTTTTTTTTCAGCATCAACTAAAATGTCTTGTTCGTCTTCAAAATACTTTGAAATTGTTGGTATTATGTAACCTAAAGTTGCAGAATCATCATGGGCCCTTAATTTATAGTAGAATTCATCCTCTTTGTAGGGAAAGCTGTCTATTTTTCTTATGATATCTATGTACGAAGTCTGAGTCATCTTATAGAGAATAATCTTGAATCTATATATGTAATTATGTTTATCGCATTCTCATAAATCTGTCAAAATCAAAATTTCTATAGTAAAGTTTTAATATATTTCAGCCAAAAGTATTCTTAGATTTGTCCCTAAATAGACATGAATGGGTCGTCCAGATCCCTTATCAGAGCGCTTAATAATGTGGTTGATCATTGGAAAGACAATGCTAACGAAGATAAAATAAGTTCAGAAGAATCTGAACTTTTTGAAGTGATAAGTTTATTTAATGAAAAGCATAATGATTTACAAAGCATAAAACAATCGGTAAATATAAACGATGAGTTATTCCGTATTTATAATGGTTATATTAAACCTGCTTCAAACTTACCGAGGGAAATATTGTTCTTGGAGATTTTGATACAGCTTCTGCCAATTTTGATAGATAATGAGATAAAACTTTGGAGTAAGACATACCTCAAACCAGCTGTAGACAGTGCTGGATATGATATACAGCTTGTTTTGAAGTCTCGACAATTTATTCGTCAATTATCTATGAAAACTATACCTTCAAGAGATCCATTATTAATAGAAAGACGTGACCAGATAGCATTAATTGTCATGGATACTATTATACAATTGTATATCGGCCAAAGTGATGAACGGTATAATGTCATAGGTTTACATTTACCAAAAGAAGATAGTGATAATCAACTTTATTATGAAAGAATACGATACATGAAAAAGAATTGTGAGGATTTACTTCATGAGTATGGACTTAAAAAAACCAAAGAATATTTCAGCTTGATCAATAAGTACTTTAAAACATCGTCTGAAAGGCTAGACATGTTGACGTTATTGCTAAGGCTAGTTTCTTCTCATACGTTGCAAGTTTATCAAATAGTCGACACAGACCTTTTTTATAATCTACTCAGAAGTTTATTATATGACTATAATGAAAGCATTCTTCTTGTTTCATTGTCGTTACTTGTTATGTTAATTCCACAAGTTTGCAATAAGATGGCAAAATCTTTTCCTGATTTGTTAGTAATTTATATCCGACTATCAAACTGGGAGCTGTTTAATGAACACATACCGAATAGGACTGATTACTTATCCAAATTGCTTGACGAAAACTTTAAGCTTTGGGACTTAGCAGAAGCAGATCGATTAAATGGTGACGCACCAACTAATTCTAAGATTGAACTAGACGTTCTGCATTTTGTTACTTTATTATATGGACTCTTCCCGTTAAATTTAAGCAAGTTTTGTCAATCGCCCTTTAACTTTTTGATGAACCACCCTACAGAAATATTCAAAATCAAATTGCTCAGTTCAATTATGGAAGTTAAAGGGTCACCCCGTGAAAGAAATTTAGAACTCGATATAATTGACACCACAAGAGAATTCTTGAGATCTTTCTCCTTTCATCCCAACTTTCTTCAATACGATAAGTTAACATTACAGAATGAGCTTGAAAATCCTTTATTATGGCTCTTGAAAGAGACAACTGATAATGATCTTCGCTCTGAGGAAATATCATTAGAATGCTTAAGTTTTAATCCACATTTGGTGATTAACATAGTACATGATCAAGAAGAATTTACCAGATCATCATCGGATAAACCTTCATCGGACACGAATACTAGTAGTAATAACAACAATCAATTTGAATTTATATATACGGGTACAGGTGAATCGAATGCCGGCTCGCTGTCGAATTCACGTCATGTATCGCGAAAATCATCATTTGCAACACCTACTTATTTGAATTCAAAGGATATTACTTTGCAAAAGTTACCAATTTCATTACTGCATTCTAATAGTAAGTTATTGAATCAGATTATCGAGAGGAAGAGTAGCATATCTGATATCAAATTTAAGGATGTGAAGTTTGATGAAGGCTTATTGGAAGAACATCAAATAAATAAAAATGAAAATGAACACACGCCTCACGATAGTGATCTTGGCTCTTATAATAGAGTTGATCTAGATGTTGATGGTTCACAAGAATCAAAACAATATGACCTATTTAAATCAAACCACCTGCTAAGTGATATGTTTTCAGCCCATGAGAAACTTTATGTCTTTTCATCTAAATCAAGTGACCCTAAACTTGATTCAAATACACCAGCTAGAGATCAATCAAAAAACCCTAATCCTTCAAATAATAAATTAAAAAATGATTCACTTCAAAGACCTGTTACTTCCCCAGTCACATCATTAGAGACTACTTCTGTTCATAGAAAATCAATTTCTGGAACAATATCTAATGTGACTGCTTCAGATTCGATCCAAGTACAAGATAATAATATCACTAATAATAAATCACAACATGGAGCAGCACTTGAATATTATCATAGAGAATTGCTACTCATGAAAAATGAATTAGAGTTTTCAAATTATATGCGAGATTTAAACAAAACTCATTATATCAAACTTAAACTAAAATTAAATAAGCTTTCAAAACAAACTTGTCTACATGACCAATCTATTGAGCACAAGAATAATACATTGCAGATCGATAGTTTGAAACTAGGGTATAATGCACTTACTGAATCTTTAAAAGAATTGAAGCTACAGTTGACAGAATCACGGTCTAAGTTTAAGAATGAAAATTCTATTTTATTTAGTAAAATTAAAGACCTCGAAAATGAAAACTATAGGTTGAAAACAGATTTAAATAATGTAACAACTGAACAACAATTATTGGATAGCAATTTGCATCACTCCATTCAGGTGGTTTTACCTGAAAAGGAGTTTGAAGTTAACAGGCTAAAAACTAAATTGCGTGAGTTAGAACAAATGAACGAGACGTTGAACCAAGAAAACCTTGTGGCAGAGAAAAATACGCTGAAGGAAACAAAGCACCTTGATGAGACTCAAGCTAGCTCGACTTTCAAGCTAAGTGAACAAGAAAAGCAAATTTACAATTTAAAGAATGATATATTAATGCTTAACGATAAAAATTTGAAGATTTCCCAAGAATTAATAAAAGCACAGGATTTGTATGATGCAGCAATAAAATCGTATGAGTCTAAGCTTTCTTCTTCCAAAGGTGATTTAAGCAAGAACATAAGCACTTTTACCTCCCAATATGAAAGACGAATTCAGGAATTGTCAGCTATAACTCTCAAATATGAAGGATTATTGGATGAAAAAAATTCCAGAATCGCCCAGTTTTCTACATCTAAGCCTATTGAAATCAATAATACTAAATATAACGATGCTACAAAGGCAATGAGTGATAAGTCCTATGACATGAGCATTCCACAAGTTGCTCGAAATAATGCATCACAAGAGTCTTACGAACTAGAATCAAAAGGAAGAGAAACACCTACATCTGTTGAAGGTATGTATAGTGGCCAACCTGATCACGCTCCATTGCATCAAAATTATATCTCCAGCTCTCATTTCCCACCACAAGCTGTTGTAACACCAATTGTCAGAGGTAGAGGAGGTATCCAAAAGAGATCCAAGAAGCACATGTGATATAGTATTTAACCCCATTTAATATACGAAGTGAAAGTATGTGTTTATGATCTATTTAACAAGGCTGTAAGCATCTTGAAAAAGTATCCTGTATATAAATTGTATAACTTTACAACGTGTTATTTTATCGTGACAATCAGTCAAAAAGGTATCTTTCATTCAGTAAACCCACTACATTTGTTTACTAGATTTCATTGCGTTCATAGGAGTACAAACTTGATATCTAGGTCAATTGAGTATAAAATTTAAATATGTCTCAGGCAGTCAGAAAAAGAGGTGGAAAAAAGTCTGCAACACCTCCACCTAGCTCAATCGTTGATGATGATTTAAATAAATTAAAAGCTTATAATGAAGGTTCGGAAACCCCCAAAGAACCAGAAAGAAAGTATTATATAGCATTGATTGTTGTAACACTTTGTGCCATTTATACTAGATTTTCTAAAATTGATACACCTGCCAAAGTTGTATTTGACGAAGTCCATTTTGGAAAGTTTGCTTCATATTACTTAGAAAGAACCTACTTTTTTGATTTGCACCCTCCTTTTGCAAAGTTATTGATTGCATTTGTTGGTTATATTGTTGGTTATGATGGAAATTTTAAATTTGAAAATATTGGTGACAATTATATTGAACATAATGTTCCATATGTTGCATACAGATCTTTCCTGGCTATCCAAGGTGCTGCGGTTGTACCTGTGATGTTCTTAACCATGAAGAACTTGGGATACTCTGTTCCTGCTTGTCTTTTTTCAAGTTTATTAGTTTGTTTTGATAATGCTCACGTTGCAGAATCTAGATTGATTTTGCTAGATGCCACTTTGATTTTAAGTGTCGCCTTGACAATTTTTGCCTATACTAAATTCATTACCTATCGTAAAGAACCCTTTAGTAGGAAATGGTGGACATGGTTGTCCTTGACCGGGGTGTTCTTATCTTGTGTCATATCAACCAAATATGTAGGTGTTTTCACATATGTCACTATTGGTATTGGCGTTCTCTATGAATTGTGGTATTTATTGGATTTTAAGAGAGGCTTGACATTAACTGACTTATCAAAGCACTTTTTTGCTAGATTATGGGCCTTGATTATTGTTCCTTTCATGATTTATTTATTCTGGTTTTATTTGCATTTTGCGATATTGGTTAAATCTGGTCCAGGTGATTCGTTTATGTCTTCCGAATTTCAGGAATCATTGCTTGAGTCACCAATGGCTAGACTTGCTAAGGATGTTCATTATAATGACATCATATCGATTAAACATAAAGAAACGGATGCATTCTTGCATTCGCATCTTTTTGATTACCCTTTACGTTATGAAGATGGTAGAGTATCTTCGAATACCCAACAAGTTACTTGTGTCTTTGATTCTGAAAACAAAGAGTCTTCAGATATCAATAACCACTGGGAAATTTTACCTCCTAATGATGTTGATGCCGAAGGAAAGCCTGTTTATACGAACGACATTGTGAGATTTAGACATGTGGGAACTGGGGGTTATTTATTATCCCATGACGTAGCCTCACCTTTAAAGCCAACTAATGAAGAGTTTACTATCGCTTATGATGATGATGCTAATGCTGTCCATTATAATGAGACCTTATTTAGATTACGTCTCTCTGAATCTGGTAATGATAAGAACAAGAGAAAGCTTGTCAGAACAAAAGCCATCCCCTTAAAGGTTATCCATGTCGATACAGTGGTTGCAATGTGGACTCATGATGATGAATTATTACCTGAATGGGGATTTGGTCACCAGGAAGTCAGTGGTAATAAGAAAGTCCAAGATAGAAGTAACATCTGGACCTTCGATGAAATTGTAAACTTAAAAGAAGATGATAAAAGAGCAGAGTATGTTCCTAAGGTTATTAGAAAGATCCCATTTTTGAAGAAATGGTGGGAATTACAATTGTTAATGTTTCATCATAACAACATTTTATCCTCTCAACATCCATTCGCCTCACAACCAGACTCCTGGCCATTGGCGCTTTCCGGTGTTTCATTCTGGAACGATAATGAGGAGAGAAAGCAAATCTTCTTTACAGGTAACGTTATAGGATTCTGGTTAGAAGTTGGTTTCCTTGCTATTTACGTCGGTTTATTATTAGCTGATCAAGTAACTCGCCGTCGTCATGTTTATATTTTAAACAACAAGGCAAGATCAAGATTATACAATACTTTGGGATTTTTATTTGTTGGCTGGGGTGCCCATTACCTCCCTTTTTTCCTAATGAATAGACAGAAGTTCTTGCATCATTACTTACCAGCACATTTAATTGCAGCCTTGTTTTCGGGCGGGCTTGTTGAATTTCTTTGTTCTAATAACAGTAACAAGAAGAGTGATCAACCAAAGGGTGTTTTGAAAATTAGAATGGCCGCATTTGTTAGTATTTGTGCTGTGGGTGTAGTTTGGTTTTTCTTCTATTTCAGACCTGTGACTTATGGTGATATCTCTTTAAGTGTAGAAGAAGTCAAAAGAAGACAGTGGTTAGATATAAAATTACATTATGCCAAATAAGCTCACGGAAAAAGCTCCTGTGTGCTTAATGAAACTTTACGTATTAATTAAGTACGATAAATACAATCAAAATACTTCAACAACAGATGCGAAAATAATTTATTAATTTGTAAAAAATAAAGTAAAAGCACAGATATATACAAAAAGCGATAAAATAATGTCAGTGAGATCGTATTTAGTCACCCTAAAGAATCAATTAGAGTCCAACTCAATTAAGTCTCCGTTAAGATTTGTTACTGGTAATCAATCGGCTGATTTAGATTCAGTAATTAGTGCCATTAGTTTTGCATATTTCAATTATAAGAAGGACGAATCCTTGTTAATCCCGCTAATTAATATATCCAGAACTGACTTTAAGTTACGGAGGGACATTGTTACATTATTGGATTCGTATTCAATAACTGAGGACAGTTTATATTTTATTGAAGATTTCAAAAGAATAACTGCTTCTGATGTCCCTATTGAATTAACTTTAGTTGATCACTGTAACGTCCAAGGGGATGTATTCACTGAGTATCTTTCTAAAGGAAAGCTAGACATTGTTGGCATTATAGATCACCACCAGGATGAATCAGTATTTTTAAATGCTAACCCAAGAATAATCCATAGTAATGGATCTTGTTCTGCGTTAGTTTTTAATTATTGGTATGACCAATTTAGTAATAAAGATATTTTCTACGAAAAAAATAATGAAATTATTCCGTTGTTATTAGGATCTTTACTTATTGATACGTCAAATATGAGCCAGAAGGTTGAAGAAGGTGATGTTATCGCATTTAAAGAATATCAAAATATTTTACAAAAGAATGAAATTTTGCTCAAAGGATTAGGAGAATATGCTTGCAAAAGTTCTGATAATATTGAAAAATTACTTAAGGGATATTATAAGCAAATAAAAGTAGCCAAAAAGGATATGAAAGGTTTTAAGTTTTATGATGTTTTGAAAAAAGACTATAAACAATTCAAATTTATCTCCAGAAGTGATGTGTCTACAACGGTTGGATTTAGTTCAATTGGTAAATCTTTCTATTGGTTATTGTCAAACTATTCTATGCAAGAAATATCCGAAACTTTCAGTGCAATCATGAAAGATTTAAATTTAGATCTTTTAATCATGACAACTTCCTATACTAGACAAGAAAATGATCAATACACAAGAGAGTTCAGTTATGCTTTCAATCCAAGCAACCCACGTAAAGACATTTTGCTGCAATTAGCTAATCTAGCTAAAAATGAATTGAAATTAAATTCCGATATATACAAGCTTGAAAATCTAGACAACTATCTCGCTGACTTGGCAAACGATCAAACATTTAAGATTTACAATCAAAACAACCTAGCAGCTTCCAGAAAGCAAATCGTTCCTGTTATTAAGGATATTCTTGAGAATAATGTGATATAAAATATTATAATTGTATTCTTTGGTTTATTTAGATTAGAAGCCTGTTATAAAGCTCACGTTAAATATTTTTAATTCTTCACCGAGTTTCAACGTCATTGTCTTCTTTGAGTTCGGTATGAAATTATTTATTTTAGATAACTCTTTTAGAAAGTCACTAAATACATTATCCTGTAAAACTACGGATTCTATACTTTCATCATCTTTTAAAATACTTCTGATATCATCCTGATAATAGAATACCTTCATAGAATTATTCAAAATGAAATTTTCAGTTGATACATCAACCCCAATATTCATTATCCAGATGAACATGTAATCCTTCCCTGATTCTGATGTCACATTAAATTTTCTAATAGCAGACAAATTTATCTTATCAACAATTAAATTATAAACGTAGATATAAGAAGGAAACGTCTCTATATTATCGTTATATTTCAATGCTAAGTTCCACTTAAAAATTTTCAAGATAGAATTGTCTAAAATTCCCAAATTATATTTGCAGGATCCACATTCTACGTCTTGATCTGAAATTTCGAGCTGTTTAGATTGGTTTATCAAAAAGTAAGAGCTTCCAATTATAACATCATTCTGGCCAGGCTTGAGATTACCATTATAATTCCGATGGGAATCTTTCTCATTAGGGTCCTCTGCTGGCTTATGACAATGCCAAAATTCCATCATTTCTGACCACAATTCAGACGGCATATCAAAAAATCTATCATACTTTTTAGAATCAATTATGACATGGGAACATTGTACGCAAGTAAGTTTAAAATTGTTCTTACTGTCAGTCTGTGGAGTTTTAGTTTTCAAATCTTTACATGACCATTTCTGAACTAAATTTGATGAGGAAAAGTCCATAAATGATTCAGTCTTTTCCGAAACATCATCTGATTCATGTGGTGTTAAAGCAATAGTTAACTGCAAACAGTCGGCTGTTTGATTTGCATTTGCTATTCGTATTTTATCATCTCTCTTTACTTTTACTGGCAAATTTACTAATATTTCATTATCGTGGAATTTAATCAAGACTTGATTTTTACTGTTTAGCTTTATATCTACTAAGTTACTTATTGGATCATTATTCTCAACTATTACTGATATAGAATTTAGTCTAGGCAAATATTCTGTAAAATACATTTATTTAGTAGAATTATTACAACTATATATGATCTTTGATGATAATTTTTTTTAATATCGCACATGAGGTCAGTGAGCTTTTTGATTGCAAATTCTATAATGGACTTTTTTCGGATCCAATTCATTTGGGTTTTAAAAAATTCTTTAGACTATAAAATACTACTTAAACTTCCTAAATTGAAAAGGATTAGAAATTGTTGTTGGTACATATTCAGATATGGCATTATCGAGATATTTATGTCTAGAGCTTGTCCTTGGCAGCTTTCGCTTAGTATCAGTAGTGAGCTGATAACGCCCAAGATATCTCGGTGCCAATTTATTATTGATTGAATAGTTTTTGTCTGCGCTACTGCATTTTGACTTATAGTCCAGCCTTGGCTGGAAAGTTTCGTTAGCTTCCGTACCCATCAGTTCCATATGAACTGGTTCGATTCTATCATTATGTGATTCGAATTTCGGAGTATGGTGCAACGGAACAGTTTCTTGAATATTTGGTAATAATAGTAACTGTATTATTTGTGGTAAGGATTCCTCCCCTTGTATGTTCAATCGAATGAGTTGGTATTGAAGAAAGGATATTACTGAAGCAAGGAAGTTTTTTGTTATCTCGAAGTGTTTTTCTAGATCCTGCTTAGAATCCATATAACAAAAATAATCTAGTGAAAACTGCAAGAAAGGTTGATCAGCAGACTTAATGAAGCACTGGCAAAATTTAACTATTCGACCAACGTTCCAGCTTATGGTCCCGCTCTTCATACTTGATAGCAATTTCAAGGGAACAAGATGATTTTCTGTCAATAAAGTTTTCATCACCGGGTTTACCAAATTCAGCTCCAAAACTTCCAAGGGGTCAACGGCTTCTAATTCACAGGTAATTTTCCTCAAAAAATCGTTTAGATAACAATAGTTTACTACCAAGCATCCATGATTGTAAAATAACCAAAGCTTAATCGAGCAAGAAAAAAGTTCTGGAAAGAAACCGAATCCAAAACAAGGCCAAAATATACCACTATATAACACCAGTTTTTCTATATGATCCACAACAATAAAACATATCCAATAATTGAGTAAAAATTTAACTTGGTCACTATTTTTGTTATCTATGGTATGCTTCTTGCGATACTCTCCGTTCAACAGTTTAAGTGTTAAAAATAATGGCCATATAAAGCAAAGAAGATTAGATATTAGCAAGTAGAGCATCCTATATAAGGAAAAACGATAACAACTGATAAATATCAAATTTTAATGTTTTCCATATTTTATGCTGTTATTCGTAGTTTTTATCATTATGTTTGTGGCTTCTGTTGATTTTTGCAACCAACGACTTATACGCAAATAAACTTATACATTATATACTTTTATTTAGAATGCATTATAGGAATTGAAATACGATGCTACAGATTTGATAACTATACATAATTTGATCATCTTGAACTAGTGATAGTTGGACACCAACTCAATGGAAATGCGCTCTTGTTTATGAAATGAAAATTTCACTAAAAATAGAAGACTGACAAGTAACAACTTGAATAACGATCATTTAACAGTTAGTTCATCTTTTGTTCTTCATAATTTCAAAGATGTTAGTTAAATGCATATGTGAGGATTAGTATTTGATTTGCTTAGAATAAAATATAGATAGATGTTGCACGCGACATTTCCGTATTTTGACGCGTTGTTTCTATTCTATGTAACGATAATAATAATATTTATCATAGGTTTATGGGTATTCATTATCAGAGCACATTAAATTATTCATGGATTTGGAAGAAGAGTTAAGTTTGTTCCAACAAGAAGAAACTGGTCCAACAGAATCAGGACAGCAGTTGCAGACCAATGGTTCTGCGGAAAAGGAAGGAGATGATCTTTTAGGTCTCGATCAGACAATCAAATTATCCAGCAGAGCCAAAATAGCCAAGATTGACAACGAAAGAATATTTAATAAACAGAAAGGGTTGAATTATGTTATACGGAACCATTCCAAGTTGGTAAGGGTATTTCAAAAAAATGATAAAACATTACAAAAGACGCTCTCTTCGAAAAAGACATCGTTGAGTTCTAAGGCTATTAGACAGTTGAAACATGAAAATGAATTCAAAAACCTATCATCTATGTTACAATTCTATCAACTCTGGTGTCATGGGTTATTTCCTAAGGCTAAGTTCAAGGACTGTCTACAGTTGCTCAGAAGTTTTGGTTCGAAATCAGGTCAACTTAAACTTTACAGACGTGAATTAATAGAACAAGAATTACGTAAATTGAAAGAAAGCAAAGGGATAATCGATACCGAAAGCATGGAGATACCGGAAGCACAGAATCAGCAGAGTGAGCAATTGCCCGAGAACCAGGATCCAGAAGGGATACAAGACATGGCTGATGATGACTGGAGTTTCATGAATACGAACCAATCTAATGGGTTGTTCGTTGGAGAAGAAGACGATTTGTATCACACACCAAACACATTACCCGCAGAAGCTGTTTCGAGGGACTTTGATTCTGTTGCTTCTAATTCGGAACAAAATGCTTCTATCGATGCTGCTAACACGGAAACTAATGTTCCAGCGAACTCAAATGACTCAAATGACTCAGACGACTCAGACGACTCAGATGACCCCTTTTCTGATAATGATATACCTATTAGGTCGGAGTCTATGAACAAATACGATGAGTATCCGGTTGAAGAAAACGAAGTGGACGATCATGAACATGAGGATGAATTGGCAATTATGAGGGAAATGGGATTGTAAATAGATTTTAAGTGTCGATTAATCATCTAGAATAATATAGTCTTTTTGGGACTTTTTTATCCTCTGACTAGGAAAATGTTGATTCCCTGGCTGATGACTTAAAGTGGATACGAAACACATGAATCCACAAGTTGCATGCCCCATACTGAATATAACTTTTATTAATTTATATAAAATCTAATTAGAAAAATATAACTGATAATGCACGAATCACTCATTTAGTTTCTAATTGGCATCTTTCATGCTGATGTCTTCATTATTATCATCAGGTTGTTCTTTATCTTCTGCAATTTGTTCCAAATCATTTGAACCGGACTCTTCCTTGGCCTTGTCTGCCGCTTCTCTTTCTTGTCTTGCCTTTTCTTCTTCCAATGAAAGTCTCAAAGCCAAAGCTAAATCTGGATCCATATTCGGATCGATAATATCGCCATTACCTCCACCAAATGCATCCATACCCATATCTGTGCCGTTACCACCCATGTCGAAGCCATCTTCGACTAAGATAGGAGATGTAGCAATAACCTCATATAATAATCTTGGTCCTGGTGGAATAGTAACTAGATGCGAGTTATCATGGTTATTTATAATCGAATTAAATTTCTCTAACTTAGATGTATTAACTGATTCTTCACCAAAATTTATGATATCAATGGCTACGTTGTTTTTCTTCATCTTTTTGGCTAGCTTTTCCAAATCCTTTTCGGATTCAGTGACTGGACTACCAACAAATATTATGATTCTTTGACTCTGTACTTTATTTTGACGATGTTTCAACGCTAATGCTGCAACCTGAATACCACTTGAAAAGTGATTTTCTCCTGATATCTTTGTTTCGTGAGCTCCGGATAATATTTTACCGAAGTCTGTGGTTAAAGTTGATAATACTTGAGGCCCGTTTCCACCATATGCCAATAACCCGACAGTATTTTCTGGATTAGAATTAACTTTATTCTGAAAAATAAACTCCGTTGCTGTGAGCTGGGCATCATATCTAGACGTTAAATAATCTCCATTCCTCATATACTCGGAGTTATCAATGGCTATCATCGTAGCTTCAAGAACCATTTTTCTTACTATTATATATATTAATATGAATCAAGGAACAAAATTGTCTTTATAAAATAGGCTGAAATATATTTATGTGACACCTTCTACCCTCTTATAGCTTCAATCAATGAATTATATTGTACAATTGATTGTTAGCTGGAGTTATCTATCGTTCATTTTGATATAATCGCCACCGATGTGGATTTTCGATCATTATTAAATTCGTGTCTGAACCGGATATATTACTAGTATATGTTTTGGTGCTAACATAAAGATACACTAATTATATTATTTGCAAACAAGCATGCCCTATACTAAAGTAGAGAAGGAGAAACTTATCCAACATATAAAGAACCATGCTGATAAAAGATTACAATCTTTGAATAGTGAATCAGACAGAATAGCTGAAGTATGTGAGAATAAGGTCCTACGAAGATTAAACTCTGTTAGTGTAACGCTATGGAATATAAGGCTAAAAGATGTGCTAGAGATAGAAAGACACCATAAGCCTACAATAAAAGGGTTGCTTAAGGATATACGACTGTTACAGGAGAATTCAACGTCTAATTCTAATAGTAGCACTAATATTTCATACAGCATCAGAAATCGAACTACATCGAATGGGAAGATCAGCAAACCCTAATCAGCATACCCTAAATGACTCGACAAACTTGCATAATTGTATTATATAGAGCTACAGGCTAAAATACTATCAACAATTAATAAATGCATTGGAAACATCAAATATGAAATAAACATAATAACAACTGTTTAAACTATCAACACTAAGCATCTTCAGGAATATCATCATGGAAGAATTTACCTTCAGTAGTTGGCTTAATAATACCAATTCTAATACAGAAATCACCGAATGGTTCTCCTTCATTTCTTTCTAAACTCCATCTCTTGAACAATGGTTTAAGGATATCTAAAATTTCATCTTCCTTTATGGAATATCTGTAAATCTTATTTAATCTTTCACCATGGTGACCACCACCCAACATTAAGTTATAGGCACCATATGCTTTACCGACTAATGCGACTTCTGCAACCCATGGTCTTGCACAACCATTTGGACAACCGGTCATTCTCATAACAACCGAATCGTGTCTTAAACCATAATCTTCTAAAGCTTCCTCTAACTTTGAAATTAACTCAGGTAAATAACGTTCTGATTCTGCCATAGCTAAACCACAGGTTGGGAATGCAACACACGCTGCAGAAGACAACCTTAAACCAGAGAAGTCTGTGTTATCCAATTTGTATTGAGCTAACAATGATTTTATAGTATCCAAATCATCATCGTTTATGTTAGAAATCAAAATATGTTGGTTACCTGTCAATCTAAATTCACCAGGCCTTTCATTTTGTATCAAGTATTCTGCGATTTTACTCAAACCGGTCTTTTGTGGTAATTCAGGTGTGTCCTCAATTCTACCATTTTCAATGAAAGCTGTAAAATGATTAGCACCAGTTTCATCCTTACACCATCCGAAATAATCGACATTGGATTTTATTTCAAATGGTTTAGGTTTTTCAAATTTGAAACCTAATAACTCTTCCACCTTACCCTTGAAGACCTCAACACCCAAATCATCAATAGTATACTTCAACCTAGCATGCTTTCTATTTGTTCTATCACCAAAATCTCTTTGAACTAACATAATCTTTTCACATGCAAAGTGAATCTGATCTTTTGCAATATAACCAAACATAGACCCAGTTCTTGGGTAAGTCTTCTTATTATTATGAGTAGAACCCATACCACCACCAGCTAAAACATTGTAACCAATAACTTCGTCGCCCTCGACGATAGCAATCAAACCGATATCATGTGCATAGACATCGACATCATTATATGGTGGAACAGTAATAACAACCTTAAACTTTCTTGGTAAATAAGTTGGGCCATACATAGGTTCGAAATCAGTCAATGCATTACCTGCTACTAAAGTCTTTTCTTTCTTTGGTCCTTCTTTACGGTTTTCCCAGTTCTTGGATGCTTCAGCCTTATCGCCTTCATCTTCACCTTGTAACCAAATTTCATGATAAGCCGTAGTTTGAGGCAATAAATACTCGGATATTAATGAACCAGTTTCGGAAACTTGAGAATGAACTTTTGCATTATGAGGTAAAGCAGAAACCATGACATTTCTGTTGACATCACCACAGGCCGCCAAAGTGTCCATTAATGCTGCATTCATACCTCTAATAGCTGGCTTCAAGTCATGCTTCACAACACCGTGAAGTTGAAAGGTAGCTCTAGTGGTCAATTTCAAAGTACCATTACCTCTTTCATTTGATAATTCATCCATTCTCAAGTATTGAGATGGAGTAGCAATACCACCTGGTAATCTAACTCTAACCATAAAGGCATATGCTGGTTCCATACCTTTACTCTTACGATCATCTCTGATATCACGATCGTCTTGCATATAAATACCATGGAACTTAGTTAATTGTTGGTCAACAGCACTTATGGCTCCGGTAGATTGATCGTTCAAACCTTCAACGATAGTACCTCTTAAGTAATCAGACTGAATTTTCATATCTTCGTTAGTCAAAGGCTTTGGCTCTTCAACACCTTCAACATTATCGACGCCTAAAGCTTTCCATAATTTTGGTTCCCACTCATTTAAACCAGTATTGAATCCATCTGCATCCTGATCATCACCTAAACCTATATCGATTAATTCAACACCACCATAGAACTTCAACTTATTGAACAAATCTTTACTTGGCTTGTTGTAATAATGTTTGTCTTCTTTTCTTGGCCAGTATTCAGAATCACCTAAACCAAAAACGGAAAATTTGATGGTTGATAAGTCGATATCATTAGAATTCTTTAAGCCATCCCAGAATTGCTTACCGTTAGTTGGGAACTCACCCTGTCCCGAAGTTGAAGCAATAAATACAATATTTGTTTCATTTGGCAAATCTTCCATTGAAATATCATCCATTGCTAAAACAATTGATTTCAATCCTCTTCCAACGGCTTGTCTATTGATCTTCTTAGCAACTGCTTCTGCATTACCACCATCAGACGCGAAAGCAACAGTTAATGGTGGACCAGATAATCCTTGCAACAACTTACTATATGAATCATTGGCAGCTTGGAGTTGCTTAGCCTTAATTTCAGTAGTGGCATTACTAGTCAAGTTTCTAGACAATAAAGGATCTTTCTTCGCTAATAAAGTTAATTTATTTTCACGATCCAAGAAATTCTTCAATTGATTTCTCAAGTTAGAGGAATCTAATATAAAGGATTTTGATTCATCTTCAATAGTTGGGTCGTATCTGTATAATGGCCAGTATCCACTGTCTACCGCAAGCTTAGTTTCCTTTAAAATTGATAAAGTATTATCAAATTCATTATGGTATGGTAAATAAGCAAGAACAATAGCAGGACCATTGAATTTTTCAGCCTCTATAAAAGCTTGTAATACTTGGGTATAAGACGAATAAATTGCGACAGATGCAACATAACATCCACCATAGTTCATTGCATATAAACCAACATCCTTCTTACGGAATCCGTTAACAGTTTTATCATTTGACTTATCTTCGTATGGTTCAGAATCGATAATTAACATATTAATGTTTTTATTCGATGTGATTAAATTGTGGACACCTGATGATCCTAAATCGTACGACCATGCGTCCGAACCTATCAACCAGTTTTTGTTCACTTTGAAATATTCCTTCAAGTCTAAAATCTTTGCTGCACTAGAAGAATTAGTGTCAGTTTCTAATAATTTTATAGTCTCTAATACTGAGCCATTGGTAGTTTCAATGTTTTCTCTCACGTTAATTAACCACTTAGATAAATTGTCAATCAATTTTTCATTGTCAATTGATTTAAATGAATTCTCTTGAATTGCTGCATAAACCAAATCTGTCAATTGCTTTTGTTGTTCTTCGTAGTTCAAGTAAGCACCATAACCGTATTCAGGATTAGTTTCGACCCCGATATTATCGGCATTGAACTCATTCAAAATATTCAAACTATCAGCGTTGACTTGCTGTAAAATCTTTAAATAAGCTTGTTCCAAATTATGGACATTGCTGATAGCTTTAAGAGATTCACCATGTCTTTCCTTACTAGCTTTAGTGGCTAATTCGGTATTAGTTTTACCAAATGACAAGTTTTGAACAGGAGTTTCAGATTTTATGTTCGATAAAAGGTTACTTATAATTTCTGAATACTTTTCCGACTTTATGTAGCCAAAGAATGCAGCAGCCACTTTTGTGAAATTCTTCAAAGTTTGATACCTGGAATACTCTTGGAAGAAATCTAATAATAAAGGAGCAAACGACGTTGATGGGGAGGTAGTCTGGCAAACAAATGTAATCGTTTCAACTGATGATGGTATTATAGTTAATAACTTTTGTAAGTCGAAAGGCTTATAAACCTTAATTGAAACTAATACAATATTCTCGTTCGTAGCAGCACTAATAAGTTCACCATTTAATTGACCGAAATAAACAATAGAATGTTTAGCCTTTGAACTACCTGCAACGACTTCAAAAGGCGATACACCAAACTTGGTCAAAAGATCACTGAACTCATACTTAGATAAATCATCAATGATTATCTTACCATCTACTTTTTCGCTTAAAGCAGAACGATAGTTAGAAGGTGCAAAGAAATGAAAAACTGGTTGTCCAAATCTTTGACTTAAATTGTAACTCAATTTAGAAAGCACAACAGACTCGTTTGTAGACTGTGACACTAAAACAGGAACATTCAAGTCTCTCAACGTAGAAACAATCGAAAAATCAAAATTCACTAATTCAACATGTGATACAATCTTACTTGTCTTGAAAGCTGTCGATGACAAAAATGGCAAGTTTTTAAAAATAGTAGAACCGTTAGTGATAACGGTGATTATTTCGTCCTGTTCGTCTTCCCCTTCTGTCCTATGCTCCGCATAGTTATTTATGACACTATATGGATCATTGGAGTCTATCAACGTAGCTGCATTTGGCAAGTACTTCGAAAAAGACGATTCAACAGACTTAGCTGGTTGAGTCACAAATACTGAACCCTCAATATTCTTGACAATATTGGAGACTAAATTTGTTAGAATGAATTTTTAAAAAAATATTTATCAGATGAAAGTTGCACTCCTTTTGGTCTTCTCAGACCAATTCCTTTCTACATCTGCCTCCGATCGAAAAAATAACATACTGGCCTCTATTTGACTTCCCATTTTGTAATCTTGAATCAATACTTGAAATTGAAGAAAAGAACTATCACTTCTTAATTTTCTTATAAGAAATCACCCACTAAACAAGTTCTATGAACAATTACCAATTCACACGTGATTGCAGAATTTTGTCTGTTATCATGAGGATGAGGCTAATATTCTGCATATATGAAGGAATATATGGATGTAGTGCATTTTTCTTCACCAAGTGTTCGGATTTTTGCGTTTAGAATGAGGCGAGTGAGATTCTTCTGATAACTTATCGAGCAACAGCACGTGCTTTATAGTAATAATTGAAAGATATTCTATTGGGTGTATGGTTTCACGTGTAATGATATGATTTGCATAATTAATCGGAACCTAGGGGCGATGGAGGGACTTTACTATGGAGTAGTTATGCCCAATCTGGAATTTCTTCAATTAATCCGAGGACAATTACATCTTAGAAGATTTTTTCAGTAAGATCTTAGTAGTAACGAAATTGTTAAGGAAGAAGGTGTATTTCCGTACCACACACTTAAATAAATATTTTCTTACAGGGCGAATGATAAAATAGATTAGTTGTAAATTGCTCAGCGGCTAAATACTTTAAATATGAGAGATAATATTCGGTCGATAGCAAAATACTTAGTTATTTAGTTTTTCTAAGTGTCGTGAGATTCCTCTCGGTGGCCAAGCTGGCTAAGGCGCGAGACTGTAATGAGTACCTCAAAGTAATCTTGAGATCGGGTGTTCGACTCACCCCCGGGAGAATCTATTTTTTTTGATCTTATCTCTCGTTAGCTCTTATAAATTGCAACTACAAACCGGACTACAACTTTTCTAAAAATTTAATATAAATTGAATTAAATAACACATATGCTAAAAGAATAGAATAAACATACACCAAAAAAACGATGTTATGATAAGAAAATTCCCGAACGTTATTATTAGATAATGTGACTTGGGACAAGAATTGAATCTCCTAAAGATTAGCAATAAGCTAATTAAACTTAAAAAGGAAGATACTATTAATCCAATAATTATAACGAGAATGAGCCATATGTTTTGAACGATTGGAAACCTGTCAAAGTTCAGCTGACTCAGGATAATGCTGTAGATAATACCTATCTCAATCCCAGATATAAACAAGGATATAAAAATAAGGGAGAAGTAAAAAAATGATAATATTTTGTCGAAGTCACGTTCAAATCGATACTGATAGTCGTTGAATGTGGATCGAATGACAGTTGAAGGGTCTTTTTGGTAACTATCGTAACGTTCGTTTATGCTGCCATAACTTTCGACATCACGCGAAACACCGTAAGCCTTTCTCTTTAATTGTATTATTGTCAAAATGACTCTGTTGATAACCGAATCACCCGACTCATAATTCATGTTCGCTATGTTATTATTGTCGTAGTACTCTAACTCATTATCCACATCAAATTCGTCCGAATGATCACTATTCAAAATAGACGTATGGGAAGTTAGAGAGTCGTTTAGATTCTCTCGAGAATACAGATTATGAAGAGTGTATAATCCAGTTTGGGAAGAATTGTTTGATAATAAACTATTCTTTTGGTAGGATTTGGATAACAATGCCCCCCTTTCTGATGGTTGTGTATGTTTAGAATAGTAATCAGGAAGAGACTTCAAAGATGATTGGTGACGTAAGATTTGGTCCGACTTAGAATTAATGAGCTTTGTTTCAATATCTAAAGTATTTCGATAGTTTTCAATGTTCTCAAAAGATTTGAATAAATCTAGATTAAGCAACACTGAATAATGATTATCGATATACTTATCATTTGGAATTACGTTCATATAGCACGTCAACATGTATTGATATAAGTCCAAATTTTTAAACAAATTTAAGGAATGAATTTGAACCAACTTTTGTATTCTCGTTGGTAATTTTTTAAGGTATGATATTTGGAACTTATTGTTTATTTTATGGTTGTTTATCTCTGTAGTTAGATTGTCTTCCAAATTTAACAAATTCAAGTCATTTGTGTAGATAGACAACTTGTTGATTGGAAACCTTTCAAAATGAGTACGATCAAAGTCGAAGCTAGTGCTGGAAACAATATTAATGTCACTTGTCGTGAGAATACCTTCATCCACGGTAATCAGGTAGTCATCCTCAGGGTTGTGAAATGTGTCAACTTCTTGATGAAGATCAGCTTCATTCAGTAAAGAAAATCTTGATCTATTACAAATTAGCCTCAATTTAGGAGCCAATCTGTTGTTAAGGATTACTTCTATAGTTGCCTTAGTTAGATTATCATCATACAATGTTGGCAACTTATCCAAAATTTCTTTCTTCGATGGATCAATTAAATGCTTAAGCAAGGAATCAGCAATATCGGTCTCTATACGGCAATATGAGTATTTTCTTAATCCACCGACGCATGCTATAATAAGAGAGTATTTTTTCCCTTCATGAGTAATAATGGTGCAAGGTTCATCATTTATGTTGTCATTAAATAAATAAGTGTAGGACATCCGAGTCAGCTCCTTGTCAACATTGCAGTTGTTGAACCCAAGATAAATATTTAAGTTCAAAAATAACTCGTTTAAGTTATTTACGTCCGCCGAAATTAAGCAACTCATCAGAAAATTCTTCTTTAGCAGTATGTTATAGTCAAATTCCAAATCGTCAGTATTATGAGAAAGGGATATAAGCGGCGTTCTCTTACATCTCGGTATATGGGATTTTTCGTTAACGAGTTGGCATAAATTGCCCCTTTCCAACTTGATAGAATTGAATAATAATGTCAATCTACTTGTTAAATCAGCTAAATTGAAATTTATAAATGATCTTTCATTTCTGCTAAGTTTTTCCTTTAAGCTCGATACAAATTGACCTGCCTCCCTTTTGTCCGCATAGTATTTTACTAGCTTTTTGAAAATCTTCCGGCACGCTATCTTTTGTATAGTAATGAACTTCAAAAGCTTCTTCAAAATAACCGATATTTCAATCGTTTGATAGAAGATTTCGTCAAAATTGATTTGTTTGACAATTATATTAACATTTGACTCCTCTGAAAGCCGGTTGAAGTTTGCTTCAAAAAATGACACCTTTCGTATCAACTCATCATTTTTGGTTTCAATAAATAAATTAATTCGACTAAAGTTATTAACAAAATCTTGATACAATTCCAGGATCTCGTAGCCGTCCTCCTGAGTTAAGATTCGAATCTTATATTTTAAATCGTTGTAATCTAGGTTAAACCATTTCCACTCTCCAATGGATAAATGGTTAAGGTTACTGCCGAATTTCATATAGGTTTATCAACTCAAATATTTATTTGTCACGTATTCCTTTCCTACTTTTTATGTTTCGTCGTTTTCCTACCTATATATACAAGCCTGGTGGATCTAAGGAATGAAATAACGAACTAAAAAAATCGATAAGATGTTGATACTGTATATAACACAACGAAACAATTAATTCGTGATGCGGCTTGCAAGCAGACCACATGGGCCCTCCTAGCACTTAATTTATTGGTCTATTAGCATTATCAATCAAATATTTCTGACAGAAAAGCAGGATCGTTAATTAATGTCACACGAGGTTATACTTTATTGGCAGGATTGTACATATTGACTCGTAATTGCCTACATGACTACATTATTAGACAAATAGTTCTCATAGGACGCACACGAGTATAAGCTAACAGTACATGGTTCTCAACAACATTGTATATTTGGTTAATCTGTAGATATGAACATGTACAAGAAATTTAATTTCATCCGTAAAATTTCAGTGGAGAATATAGATTGGTTTGCAATATTATAACCAAATAAACATAGAAACTGGGTTATACTGCTGGCAGGACTTTTGGATTGGGATATCAGATATGATATTTGGTATGTAGCCATGTTATAGGCCTGTTATTTCTATATTCAGCATGCGATTGTATAATGGGGCTTAACTTGATACTGTAGACATATTACATGAGTGCATGAAAATTCGTGCAGCCTTGAGCGTAGGGTGGGGGAGACAATTCCTTAAGAAGAATCTTTTGCGGCGATACGCTATTGTTCATATGTGATAGAGAAACAAAGAGCGAACATATGGAATCAATTGAACGAATAAATCGTCAATGAATTTGTGTAAGCTTCACGGCTAATATAAATAGGACGAGCTAGAGGGGTGTTGGTTAAAACTGAAGATTAGCGAACGTTTAGTTTGTTTGGAAACGGGTTAATATTATTATGCAAGCGCGATGTGGTATTACCTAAAAGCCTTTAATCTCTATTAGTAGATCTAACCGAAAATATTCCCTTAATCGGAGATACGCCATAGCCTGAAGTTCCAGAGTCTACCCGCTTTACAAACTGCTTTGAAAACGTGCTCAATATGATGAACGTGTAACGCAAATACAGGCAATTTGATTAATTTCAATGTAGTCCAAATAACAAAAAAACTCTAAATCGATACACTCTATTTATTGACTATTTTAGTACCCTTCACAAAGACTGGAATCATGCCACCGGTGCCAACACTAAATTGTCTATGGCCTAACACTAATAATGATGCTCTAATAGAACCGGAATGGCTCGTAACACATATAACATCATCTTTCACGTTAAAAATCTCCTGGAAAAACTGGTTGATGCGCAAGGCATGTTCCCGGACAGTTTCACGGTAATCTTTTTTGAAGTAGACGTCCTTTTCTGCAAAACCAGGTTCTATTAAATAGCCCTTGAGAGAATATTTCGAATGTATTATACTTCGGGTCGACCTCATGTCACATGTATGGACACCAATAGTCTCTCTAATATTTTCCTTGATCAACGGACGAGCTTCCATCAACTTCGTAATGTTTTCCCACGTCAAAGTAAGGGTATCAATCGACCTGGATAATGGCGAAACAAACCATTTGGTGGGCAATCTACATCCATCTTTGAGCTCGATCTGCCACTGCTTGTAGTTTTCTTTTGCTTGGTTCTGCCCCAAATCGGTCAATTCTGGATCTGGTCCCCATACGATCTCACCGTCTCCATTTATCTTA